ATTTTTACCACTAGTCAATGGAAAAGATAGATAAATATCATGCTTAAAGATATACAAAATAATTAGCTATTACATTTCATTTATCTGATACACATATTACTGGTACTCAAATATGCCAAAATACTAGTGAAAATAATATGACTCATGAAGGAACTTACCGTTTGCTGCAATACATTCCTTCATTCCGAGTTATAAATATTGAAAAACTGCCAGTCTTTTACTTCTTCTTCAGAAGGACGAAAGTCAGTGTTTTATATATTAGAAAAATTGAAAGAGTTCTTAGAATCCTAACTCATGCAAAAAAATAAAGTAAATAATTCTGCCGTTAAAGAAACAGCTTCAATGTAATAAGTTACTGACTAACAAAAAATCAGCGTAGAACCTTGTACATCGACTCAAGCTGCCATACTTCACAGTAGTACACAAACAACAGAGGGATAGAAAAGCAGTGATTTCAAAGTAAACAGGGTTTTGTGAGAGAATAAGCAGTCTGAAGATAAGGTAAGTGTGAATATTCAGGCTTCGGAAGATGTCAAAAAGTGAATACATCCGCGCCATTGTGACCAATTTTCACAAATTCCATCAAGAGTTGTCAACCACAGATTTATTTCGTCTCGAGGACACCAACTAAACAGTCTACATCTCTCCACACGACTCAGAACAACAGTACGTTACTGACCTACATGATATGGTTTCGTTCGGAAAAAAATGTACAGCTTTATATGATAGACTAAATAAAGCGTTGTGTGAGGTGTTAGTAAAAAAAATAAATAGTGTATTGTATCCAACAGTTATTTCAATTAAGTAAAGTAGAATAAATTCATTATTTCGGTATTTGCACTTCTCAATTAATGTAAAAAAACAAAGTTGTTTTAAGTGACTTGAAATCAAAGTAAAAACGAACACCGACGCCTTAGATATCCAGTATAGTTCAAAAAGCTTTAAGAAACGTCAACCATGGTTTAGTATAGTACAGTTTTAGGCCACAAGGTCGACTTTGACAGTAGTAAATTTATTTATACAGACTTTAGAAATTATAAGGAAATTCTTACAGAAGAATTAAGTTGGTATAAATAGAGAGTTGATCCATTTTCGGTAGTAATTTTGAATTATTATTTATCCTTTCAGATGGTAAATGCTACATCTTCACCATTCACTGATTTTTATTCTACAATATTCAATCTTCTAGTTCTTTTGACTACAGCCAATCACCCGGATGGTAAGTGTACATATTTTGCAAGCCAGTTTTTGGAAATAAACGCCTTCTAGTTTTAACGGATCTCAATGTCATATTTGATGAACTAATATAATTTATCACAGCACTGAATTCTAGCCAAAATGATTGAAAATATTAGTGAGTAATTAGATTTAATAAGCATACTTTAGAGAACAGTTCAATACTAACATGTGTTCATCTAATATTGGGAGAAGCTATATTTTTTAACTTTCTTGATGGTGGCTAGCAGTTGAATCCAGGATGCGCAGTTTGTCCTATTTGGGACTGTCAATTGGATGTAACTGCACCCCAGTGATTCTTTTTTTCTCACTGAAAACCGAACTCAATACTCATTGCTTCAAACGCCAGAGCGTTATTCAGTAGGCCACCAAGTGAGGACAGCCACCTCTTGTGCAACAGGTATCAGTTATTATTATCTGTTGAAATCATCTATAAGTACAACACAAGTTTATGTATCATTTGAAAACTGCTCTTATTTTTGCTTCACTATGACGAAATTGTAAAAGATATTGAATCAGCTCCGGTTTCTGTAAGTGACAGAATAGTTAACTCTGAAAGTCACATAATAAGTATACAAGCAAAACTCAACATGTACCTACCAATATAAAACGAATATGAATTCAAAATAAGATGGGTAGATAAGCAAAAGTCTAAATGTAATAGGTCGGCAAAATATTAGGAAAGTGATAGACATCATGATATAGGAATCATGAAAAACATGGTTGACAGTAAGTAATACAATGGCTAACTGTTTACTTCAAACATAAGTCTTTACAGAAACACGTACGATCAGAATAGAGGCAGGGTGTCCACCTGGTACTGCGTAATACCTTTCTTAATTCACCTGTTACTTGCTAGATTTTCTGTTGTTGTGCAGTTCCGTGCTAAAATAAAAAGTCGGCGAATATATAATGTAATTCATGGTCAGTGACTAAGTGGGAGCTAATCTTTCGTGAGTAAATAATGTAAACTCATAAAAATTCCGAAACAAAGAGGTTACTGAATCATCTTCATACATTACCAAGAAAGCCATATAAGTACTTAAGTGAACCATATAAATTCATATCGTTTTGAAGCACTGAGTAAGGTTAATAATCAACTCTGTAAACAAATAATACCTTATTTGTATAATGTCAATATCTCCTAGCTTAAGTTCAGTGAAGCAGAATCGAATTTTGATGTTTTACTTCTTTAATATGCCTTGGTTACCATCGAACAAGTTTCCTGTACATGAATAAATATCTTATTTTTATTGTGCTCATGATAAACAGCAGAACGCTAGAAAACAAATATTATTTTGAAATGCTACAGTGCATTAAATTACTGGGAGTCATAGCTTTGTAGCGTAGTAGGTAGGCTTTACAGCTACCTATCTAAACTTATTTAAATATAGTTGCATATCATACTGCTATTTTTCTATTTTGGCACCACCGACTTAGATATCTTATTCGGACTTTATAACTTTACTCTAAGAGTAACTTCTGGAATATGTCTAAATGAACATAGAAGCAAAGTACGAGACTCAAAGATCCAGATATCGAGTGCTCAAAATTTCCTACGGAATTTAAGTAGATTTACCCCATTTTTGATCGACAACGAAGTGTTTCGGAATACTGAAAATTAAACGTGAAAGGAAAAAGTTGGTATTCATCACTGATTGATATTAGTTGTAGAAACAGTGAAAAGTTGGAAGCACCGAAGATCTATTCAGTCCCAGTATGTTAACTCTCATCAGGATGCACCCAGGATCTTCATGATTCGCAGGAAGCACTTTACCGTTGAGTGACTGGGTCGGAACCCATCGGTCCCCATTTTATTACTCCTGTTAATTCATGATATAGCCCGATGCCCGACCATGAAACCCGAAGGTACTAGTTTCGGTCTTTGGCGAGGCCATGGTGTGCATTGCTGATAAATTTCCTAAAAGGACAAAATAGCTATCCAGGGCTCATAGTTTTTCTATGGTTCCCCAACTGATGTCAGTTCACGATAAATAACTTAAAATGAATAAAATCCTTAAAAACTTTCAAAATGAAAACAGAACTATAAAGGATATGATAAATAAATGTTTCAAAAAGGTAATATACTAGTTTCATTATGTGGATGAACCTGTTGTGCGCTTACTTAATTCTGCATAGTAATTTCCTACCTAAATCAATTCAAAGAGTGAAGTTAACTTGTCTGATCTCAGTAAAAGTTGTCTTCAATCAGCGCTTGGTGTGAAAGACATATGAAACTGTTCTAGGTCTCGTGAATTAACTAAGCATACGACAAGCGAGTATTAAAGAAGGGTTAGGTGGCTTCGTCAATTTTTTCGATTAAATACTGTTTTGAAAAGTTCCTAAGGTATTTTAATCGCAAGCATTCCACACTTTAAGGTTTTTAGTTCATAAATTGATGTACCTCGAAGGTTACTGACTCAACAGAATTTCACCCATGATGCTATATTAATTTTGGTGACTAGCAGTTGAATCCACGTATCGTCCTGTCTGGGACTCATCCGTTGGATGTACCTGCATCCCAGCAAGTGTTATCGTCCCTACTGTTGTTGTTTTGATACTTGTAATTCTGCGTTGCTATACAGAGCCAAACTAGTCGACTTCTGGTTCTGATGCCTCAGTGGCCTAGTGAATAACACTTTTGCATTTGAAACGATGAGTACCGAGTTTGAGTTTCAGCGGGAACAACTCTCACTGGGGTATAGATAAATCCAGTTAACGAGTCTCAAATAGGACGAAATGCGCATCCTAGATTCTACTGCTGGTCACTAAGACGAATATTATGTCACGAATATCCGGCAGTTCGCTGCAGTAAGGAATTATTTGAGTCACTCGTATCACAGTACTGCTTATCAGATAGGATTTAAGAAGACTTTTCCATCACTTTATTGTCATTACCGAGCATGAAATTATCTCAATAAAAGGTCGCTACCGATATGGTAACGCTAGTTACCATTCAGGCGGGTAGTGGCATTCATGCCAGCCTAGTGGGTGTAGACCTAGACCTCAACTAGAATCAAGGGTGAGTCAGCTCTAAACCACTGAGTAAGTCTATGAGTCTTTTGACTACATGCCATATCCTAACAGAAGGTGAATGAGAATAAGTTGCTCTCAAAACAAATGGCTGTGAAGCACTTTTACACACAGATACTGTCTAACGTAACTATCATGTATGGAAAGCTACGGAATGATATTCTCTATTGAAGAACTTTCTCAAAGTGTCATGAGCATATGTGGGGGCTACTTTAAATAATCTGATTTTCTAAAGTGCCACGTTTTGAGGCATCTGCTGTACCATTAACGTTTGTTTAGGTTTTTGCATACCTAGATCGGTTTCATCACCTTCAGTTAGTTAAAGTATCAAAAAGATCAGTTTATGATCCTGAAAGACTGACATCCCTTTTGCTGATTCTAATTTGTTTACAAACCTGATTTTAGCCACTGCACCGCAACGCAGGTATTTGTTAGCCTTCTGCTTGATACTAAGGCTCAGAGTGATCAGTTTCATATGGATTGGAATTTATAGCCAATAAAATCTTATGTCATCTACAGCAGTATTATATGTTGATGCCTATGATTCGTTCATCTTAAATAACTGCTATTGTAAACGTCTAGAAGGTTAATGATGTCTTGCATATTTGTGCCGAGTTTTCTACTTGCTTCGGTTCTAACCTTGAACCATTATAAGCTACTTTATCCGGATGACTTGCTTAGCTTTCTGAGTGTTGAATGCTTCTTTGCGAAATTAAACTTTAATGAGGTATTATTGTGATTTGAGGCAGTATCAGAGTGTCGATAGCAATGAACCAGTATTACTCATCACACACACTGTCTCGGTATAATCAATTACCGCCCAGAATTAGGACTACTCCACAAATTTTCCGGCAAAATTTCCTCGGAAATTCTAGAAGTAGCTGTTTATTTGAATGATGACCTGATTACAATTATAGTAATGATGGATAGTGGCTAGCAGTGGAATCCAGGATGCGCATTTCATCCTTTTTGGGACTCGTCAGCTGGATCTACCTGCCTCCCAGCGAGTGATGTCGTTCCCATCGGGATCCGGACTCGGGAGCGATCGCTTCAAACGCAAGGGCGTTATCTAGCTGACGAGTCCCAAATAAGATGAAATGCGCATCCTGGAATCCACTGCTAGCCACTATCCATCATTACTATGTAGTTAAGAACACAGGCAATATCGAGGCATCCACACAGGAGCCCATATGCTAACAGAGACTGATCAATTCGGTCCAATTAGCGACGGTATGATATAAAAACAATTATACTGATTACAATTAATTTTCCGAAAGAACTCTGTGACACAACTGAAATGGTTCTATTAAGAACCTGAGACAACAGATTTTTACTTCACGCTGAAAAAACTTGTTTACTATAACAGTTACCTACTTAGTTTAAGCCAAAAATTGATTGAACAAAACTCATGGTGTTGGAGTAAAAGCTGGTCAGTAGTATATACAGCGCATAAACAGTTACTATAAGTTTTAACTTTAGTCCCAGAGACAAATGATTTATCCTCTTTTGTCTGTATTTATTCACTTCTTATTCGCCATTAACACAATCTTGCCGTGCTTAATGTGTTTTCTCATTATTTTAGTCTTAATCCCATCGTACAATGTAAACAGGGGAACAGCAATTTTCTCTGTAATTTTTCTTGGTGTTGGATTGTATGTATTCTTGAATATTCTTACTGCCGCTGTCTACAGTGAATTCAGTGGTTACTTACTAGTAAGTTAATTAAATTGAGTTCATGTTCTATTCCAGTGTGATAGATATTGTAGATAATGGTCGTCATTTGCAAGGAACAATTCGATATACATCAGACTAACCATTCACCACTGTAATACTATCTAAATCTCATACAGACAAGCTGAAAATAGTTTCATTCCTGGTTTTCAAAACTACGTCTATACAGAGAAAGGTTTAAGGGAGTAATTTTAGTAGGCTATTGTTTAAAAGCCATGAGTTTATTCATGTTTATCTTGTTGTTATTAGTCCAAGCATCAGTCATCTTAAATTCATAATCCAGAAACTTTCAGATGCCTCGCTTAACACCTTAGGTATACACCGTATTGAAAATTGTTCCATATCACCTGACTGCAGATCTCACCAAGCAATCTGATAATGAGTGGTAATTATGAGCATCAGCTTCTTTTTAGTTTGCTTAGATGAAAACATTTTCTTCGTTGGTTTATTTTATGCCTACACATACAAAAAATGTCGCCTTTTAAACTTGATATTTAACCAAGTCCTGCTTATATATATATATATCTTGATCCACGTAAGAATTTAGTCGTGAAATGTGCACTTTTCACAATCATTTCTTCATCAAAATGTTTTCTTATTGGCATAAGACATCATGCCTTTTCATTATTCTTTTTGCCAACTGAAAATGTTCACTACATTGAAAGTCTTCTGTGCAGACACGGTTGATGAGAAGACGAGTTGCAACAAGAGCAGCCTTCGAAATCTTGAAATACAGTGATCGGTGAGTCTCACTCTTTTCATTATCCAAATATTAGTAAAGTGTTTATTGGGTGGGCTAGACCTAACCACATTTGTTATACATTCTGATCATGCGAAAGCTGAAAATACATCCATTTTTGTTAGAGGTTGGGGATTATATTCTGGTCAATGAGGAATATTTACTTTGATGACTCGCAGTAGAATCTTGGACGTGTGCCTCGCCCTATTTGAGACTCATCAACTGGATGTATTTTATTACAGTGAATAATGTTGTTCCCACCGAGACACGAACCTAGTACCCAACGCTTCGAGTCTCAATGGGAACAACATCACTCACTAAGGTGCAGGTATATCCAGTTGACGAGTCTCAAATAGAACGAAACGCACACCCTGGATTTCACTGCTAGTCATCAAGATGACTATAACACTATTAGTACCCGGTAGTATCGAGGCATCCATATGGTAGCCCATCTATCAACGGAGGTCGGTCAATTCGACTCCGTGTGGCAAAGGGGAATTACAAGTATAGAACAACGAGAAATATTTTTAGCTGTTTTGGGCGTATTACGTAAGTTATCTTTCTCAAAATAAGAAACTTGTAACTTCTAACGAAAATTCTATGGAGTCTGATAGTTGTGACATCCTTTACGTATATACATGCGAAGAGATTCGTAACTTAAACTTTGAGTAAGAGTGCCCATCACTTGTGACAGGTTCAATAAAAGGCTAAAATATTTGTTATATGAGAAAGTCTCAGAAAAATTGCATTTCCAATAACTTCAGAGGAGTTCGCTTCGTTAAAAGACCTCATCAAATATAACACTGATCTGAGTGCAATGTACCTTAGGAAACAGGTGAATGAGGCGTATATTGAGGTGAAGATAAAGATGACTCAGGTTCATTTAAATCACAGTTGCTGTTAGCTTCACCGTGGTATATTTTCAAAGCATAATTCATGCATAACTGGAGGTCTGTTTGACAAAACTCATTTCAAATTATTACACTTATTTATTGTTAACCTTTTATATACTTTTCTCAGTAATTCTAATAGTCGTTTCTGCTGTTTAGCTGAAGCCTACATAATAACTACGAAGGTACTCAAAACTTCATTGACATCATTACCTACAAATCTAAGTACGTTCTTGACAAGCTAATTTACCTTTTACCATGAATATAAGCAATTATTTTGAGCACTGAAGGTATAAAAAACCAATTTTGATAAACTGTGTTCGAATGATAGCAGAACTGGCCATGCATTCTAACATTTTCCAGGTTTTGCTTGATATAAAAGAAATAAACAGAGTTTTCCTAAGAGCTTGAGGATTGTTTGTATCATAAGTTTTATCGAAGAAGACCAACCTAGTTAAACTCTTACTTGAATTCAGTGTCAGAAATCCAGTCTCACTACAATAAACCAGGCTCATAGTGTTTGAAAGTAGATGAAGTTAACTCACTACAGTTAATTATATTTTCACAATAAGAACAGAGCATTTCCCCTTCGAACAAATGTAATTTCACCTTAGATCTGCTTATTTGATATCGGGAAAAGCAAAACTATGTAATTCACTGAATGACGTTCAAAATATGGTTCATTGTCTGTAATCATATCAAAGTAATACGGTTCAAAGTGATTTGAAGAACTTCTGCAATCCATGCGAGCGAATTTATTTCAAAGATTCAAGTTCATTAGGGTGTAGGACTAATCTTCTGATCTTCCCTACATGTTCTTGCATGATCATTTGGTTGCATTATTGCCAGTATCACTTTACAGCTGGAAACTCTATCCATTGGTCCATAATTTTTTATATTCAACAAAACACCAGGTGCTAACTCATATTATGGAAACTTTATTACCTAAACCAACGACGAGACAATAATCTGTTTAAACAATTAAAATGAACCAATTCCTTACTACTGCTATCCATTTTTTATTACATAAAATAGATCACCACTGACTTTTAACAAAGAAACAGAAAACAACACTAGCAGACAAGATGTAAGAGGAATCTGTTACTGACATCTAAAAAAAGCACATGTATAGTTTTAATGGAATGGTAAATCGTTGTTGGTTCGTACTTGTTATTTCCAGTTGCTACAGTGGGTCAAATTTCTCTAAATCTACTGGCAGATTAGCCTGTATGTGGATACATATTCATTACATTTTAGTCTGTTTGATGGCTAGCAGTGAAGTCCAAGACACAAGTTTCCTCTTAATTAGTGCTCACAAGCCAAGTTTACCTTCATCCCAGCGGGTACTGTTGTTCCCCGGGAGAGTCGAACCCAGTACTCATCGCTCCAAATGACAAAGCGTTATCCAACAGCCCACTGGTAATTCCACGTTGTGAAATGCTGCATTCACTCTGAGGTAGATATACATGAAAATGATAGGACAATGACCAGAAAGTTCCGGAAAGTTCAAAAGGTGGTTATATTTTTTAATGCATACGATCAACGGGTGTAAAAAAATCACACACTGATCAGTTACTGGAATTTAACCAACTTCATGTTGTTTAGTCATAAGTGCCGGTCAGATTCTGTTGATCACTTTGGCCATCTCTCCCACGGAAGGTCGTTCGCCGCCTAAATAGCTTAGTATTAACGTCTCTGACTGAAGTACTGGCGGATGCAGGTTCGAGTTTTAGGCAGGACATTAGTTACTTCGAGGCTGCAGAAACGCTTTGCTGACGAGTCTAAAAAGTACAAAACTCAGGTCCAGAGATTGCTGCTAATTACCTCCATACAACTGACATATCTCCTACGGTAGTAATGTCATGGTTATATTGGTAATCCTAACTACACAGCTAACATATATTTCACATGGTTCTTTACAGTTCTTGCTTGAAGTATCATCTAGTTACAAAATAGGGGAAAAAACTCGTAAAGCCTGTTTAAAGACAATTTATACAAGTATAAAACTTGAGCACTGTGTTCGGATGAAATTCGATATTAGATTTGATTATTTGATATAAAGCGCACGGTGATACAATATTATCTAATTAATGACGTCTTCAGCATAAGTTATTACTGCTCATTATCACATCAATGTAATCACAATCCTTTCGATATATGATTTTTTTTAGTCCTGTCACCTCATATTCTTTGTTTTTACTGGTAATAAAATTTTCCATACCTCTGCCATAGATGCTGTATCATTCTATATAATTCCTGAGGTTGTGCATCATTCCTGTTACATGTGCTGGATGCAGAACCCATGAAAAAAAGATTCAGTAATCAATCTCTCTCTCCGCCTAATTATGTTGGACTGAAGTACAATGGTTTTATCCCACCCCATTGTGTAGTTGTGTTAATGCATGCATTGCAATAGCCGAGTTTTTTCTAGATTATTGATTTTATTTGGGTCTCATTCTATGTTTAGCTAAAGTCCTATGTTCGGCTACCCTAACTGACCCCGACCGGCTAGTTTGACCTACGTACTTGACCTCACAGTCATTACACACGTAATTTGATAGATTAGATTATTTTGCCAAATTGAATCTGTCAGATCCTTAAGCCGATAAAGTTTATCTCTGAGTGGGTTTGTAGGTTTAAATGCCACCCTAATTCCAGCTCTGTTGAGGAACCTACGTAAAGTTTATGATGTACTTTCCTTATAGGGTAACTCAATGGAGCCTGTGAACTAACTCCTTTCCACTCGTGTTGTCGTTATTATTCGTACTTGTGTTACTGTTATCTTTTCGTTTGTTGTGTTCGTGCGGATTTCTTAATAAACTGCAAAGGATAATTATTGATTATTAGCGCTTCTTTTACGTGTTTTAATTCCTTGTTTAGGTCCTTGCACTGACTAGTGAATTTTCTAGCTCTATCACCTAGACATTTGACTAAGCCTGCCTTGACTGACATTGAATGGAATGACTTCAAGTCTAGACACCTATGGAATGTGTCGGTTTTCTGTGGATGGTAGTATCCAAACCGCCGTCCGTCCTTCGTTTTATCCTGCAATCCAACATAGGTGATTCCCCTTGTTTATTTCCTACCCCTCCCCGTCAGTGAATTGGATTGCGCCTACTACTGAGTTTATCTGTGTGAGGAAATTGTGGATCTGTCCCGATTTCAACACAGTAAATGTGTCATCCACATATCGCCACCATATTTTGGTGCAGGACTAACCGTTTGTAAAGCCATTTCTTCCCAACTATCCATAAATATTTCTACTGAGATTGGGGATATTAGCAATCCTATTGCTACTCTTTCTGTTTATCTGTATATTCCCGCCTGAAACTATGGGTCTAATGGGATAACTTGATTTATGCACCTTAAAAGTACCATAAATTTTGCTAGGATTATTTGTTTTAGGCCTTAAATCAAACCACTTAGAATCACTTAGAGGTGGCTCCAGTCGGCTTATCGGATTGGTTGTAGATTTGCTAATTTTATTAATGACAGTGTCTCTAGGTTTCCTGATCTCGTCATATGGTGCTGTTTGGAAATGTTGTTGAGATATTTCGATTTATTCGTAACTGCTGTTGAGTTACTTTTATCGGATTTAGCGATCGCTACGTTTTTGTAGTTTCGTAGATTATTTAAAGCTGAATTTTCTAGTTTTGTTAAGTTTTGTTGTGTCTTCTTTTGTTTTCTGGGTGCTAAAGCACGCTGTAGAAACAGAACTCTAAAGAAACTCGACTAGGCAACTTTGATTTCATTGACTGCTTAGAAACGTGAAATTATTTGTAAATAGTATTATATTCCTTGACACTGAGTCGATTTTCACATGAGGAACCAATTGTTGGAGACTCTAGGTGATCACATGGCTTAGAACCAATGTCAGTCGCGCAGATGTATGCTCATATTATCCTCATCCCAACCTCTGTACCCAATCCCATTGTCTCATTTTTCCTTCCTCTGTTTTACTACTTTCTACTTCTTTTGATCAATTTTTGTTCCCTCTTCATCTTTCACTTCACTGCCTTTTTACTTGATGTGCTGACATAAGAGGTGGGAACTTGGACCGTTACGCAGTAATGCCTGGTCCTGTATTGATCTCAGTGATGATGATTCTGTATGATTGCAAAAGCTGTAAGTGGATCTATGAAAACTGCTATTATCGAATAAAATTATCAACACTGATCATCTGATATTCACTGGCTCCTTATTCTGCATTTAGTTGGGAAGTGAAGTTTTTTGAAGGCAATAAGTCTGTCTATTTTCTGCATCGTCAAAGACACAGTCATTCACTTGGAAAATCTTTACCTGCATATTTTTTATAATTTTATTTTTTGTGATTCCGAACAATTCACTGTAACCATCATAAACACTATCTGTGGTCATCCGAAAATTTTCATTTAGGTAACACTGCTTGAACTTCAAAATGATGAAGTCGTTGGAACCTTGTGGACAATGATTACTGAATTATTACCACATATTCTTCCTTAAACCGGAATAATTTAATTCGATGCCTTGCAGATGGTAGACTAAGTCTTCAGAAAAAGTTAGGTCTTCTTAGAAATAATGAAGGGATGGTAATTTTCAGTGCTGAGAAGTCAAAGTGAGATATACCACTGTAAATTTTTAACTTAATTCTCATAGTTTTCAATAAATGACTGATTGTTTATTCTTCCTTAGTAAATGATTGAGTAAACCACCCCAACTGATCAATGTTACTATATGGTCGGCGCCTTTCTAAGCTTATCAGTCACGTTTGCGAATCGGTCACTAAACTCCATGAGATGATATAACAGTCAAAAGTAATGTGTAAGGTTGCTGAGGGTATTTTACATTTACGCAATAATACAGTATGTCTTACTTACTGTCACTTGTTTTCCGTTCATGCTGCTGTTTATAGAAACAGAATCCCGCAAACGAATTTAGATCAGTGATCGCAACGGAAAGTGTGTGCACTGAAGGGTGAATTAATGTAATAGAATTAGATTTTCTAATGACAAGTTTACACACAGTGTTAAGTTTTTTTATTTCGGTAATATTCCGAGCAAAATTGTTGTCCATGGTGACAATAATTGGGATTTTTATCAAGACGCTTACCAAAAGATATCAATATATATAGTCTTTCCTCATTGTTCGCTACTCTGTTTGTTCAATACAATGTTCTACATAGTTGACAGTTTTGTTGAGTTGCCTTATTTCGATGTGTTAGGGGTGATATGTATTAATATTATTTCTCTAATTAATCTTTCTACATAAAGTTCACCGTATTTGCCAAATCATATCACACCTGAATAGTCTTATGTACTGCTTATAAATTTGCTTCCCAGCTTCTATTATAAAATGTGTAGTCAAGATCTTACACATAAGTGATCTCGTTGATATGGAAATGCTAATTAGTTCCCTAAACAGCATTGCAAAATGGTATCATCATCCTGTTTTACCAATGAGACTAGATTTCTAAGAATGCTCAACAGTTCTTTTATTTTAGGACTCATATTTTTATGCCTTTGAGAACTGTTTGGATGATTTCTGTCTAATTTATATTTTTGGGGTTTGTTTTATTTACACTGCTACCTTGAAGAATTCTGTTTACCAAAATGAACTAACATAATCAGATATATCTTTAGAAAACGAAAGGAATATTTGGAATTTTAATTACATTCAAGTCTATATGGGAAGGTATAAAATCTTAAAGATTCTACTGAACATCCTGTTGCATTGAAGGTGCTCGATGAGTTCCTGAAGTTCAACCTAAGGCTAGCTGGATCTACAATTCATTTTGGACTTATCAAAAATGTATTCAGAAGAATTTTTATCTATAACTTTGCTGGAAGAAGAAATAGAATCTTTATCTTTATGAAATATGTAAACAGATATTCACTTAATCACTTTCAGTCACTTCAGTTACACGTAACAGAATTGGAATGAAAAATCCTGCGAAGGCATTGTAAATTTCTCGATATACCAGAAAATTTGAGACTACAGTTTACCGAATAACGACCATCTAATTTAAGTCATGGACTGAACTAACAAGCCACTATTAACAAGATAATTAGGCACTGGTACTACTATTATGAATTTGGTGGAGAAATGGCTAAAAATGTCCAGTTCCTACCTAATAGTAATTTGTACAGACAAGTTGACAGGGCGCCTATGGGATCTCCATTACTCTCAAATTTGCAGATATATTCCTGGCAAAATTGGAAAGTCATCCTGTGAAAGATCGAATTGCTGATACCTGGATGATACATTTTAGTCCTTAATACGTGCATATGTAGTAATTCTATTCTGAACCCCTTCAAAAGTCCTCACCGACCAGTTCATTATATTAATGTAAGTGAATCAAGTTATTCAATACATTTTGTTGACCTTCAAACGACAAAAAATGGCTGCATGATGTGAAGTATATGTTGGAAACCGATGACTAAAGCACAGTATACACACTTTCTCAGCTTTTTACCAATGAGGTACAAACGTATTATGATCAAATGCCTAGTAATTCCAGTAAGATCTATTTGTTCCGAGGAGTACGTGGAAAAAGAACTTCTGTGCATCCGTGATACTCTAAGTGAAAATGAGTATACTGAAAAGTTTATTAGAGCAAACCACTTACAGTAATTCCAGACGTGAATTGATCACAGTAGGGAAGAAGCTTTTGTTTCTGAGACTACAACTCAAGGGAGAGGATGAAAGTGATATCCAGTCACAACGCGTATCCAGAGCAGGAAATGGAATGGTTTTCTCTGCATACCTTTCTGTAGTGGGCCAGCGCTCAGTCACAGAATTAAGGATAGCCCACTTAACCTTAGCAAATATCAATTTACTTGTTCCACCGGAACAAATTATAAAGGGGGCACGATTAATCAGGTGTTTCTTTGGTTACAATAACATTTATCAGTTTTGTTTGGAAAAGGTGAAGTGAAAGTGGTGGAAAGTTCCGCTTCAGGCTACCTACTAAACACAGTGTATCACACAAATCCTAATAAAGGTATCGATTTCATAGTTCGTGCACCAAAAATAGCACTAAATGTTTCCCACCAACTCTTGCTCAACATAACTGAGGCTGTCACACTGAGATTGATCCAAACTGAACTTGACATTTAGACAGAACAGGTTCAAGTAGAATTCCTCCCTTGACTACTCCATCTGCCTTATTTGCTGTCTTTTCTTTTAGCATCACACTCTTCGTTTGTATATATATCATCCTGATATTGATAAATTTAATAAGGAAAATCAACTTCCTGATAGCCCCTAACTGAGACTACATCATGGATATAGAAACTTGGCTTGTTTTACGTAACACAATTCCATTTTATTACTGCAGAACCTGACAAGAATCTACTGAAATGAATACTTTTCGTTAAGATTATTTTTAATTTGTTTATTGATTATTTTTGCCGGTATTCACTTTTTTATTGCAATTCCATTGTAAAATTATGAATTGCCAAAATTATTTTTCGATTTTTTTTTCACATGTCCCGTTGCAAAACTACGTCACAACTTATCAAAAAATTCAGTGAAGTAGATATCGTCTCCAGCAGTGATATAGCTCAATTAATCAATACTATTAACATCGACACTTGGAAAAGAAATCAATTACGTGAAGTGAGTATTTCGCTTGAGTTTTTCATTTTTTTTTAGCAGCCAGTAGTTAGCAGTCATCAAACTTGTTTTCTTAAATCATCCTTCAGATTACATATCTCAATAATATTAGTGTGTACATTCAAAATTCAGGGAGAACTCTGCAGGTTCGTCATACATATCAACTTCGAATGCGTTGGAATTAAACAATACAGCACTTACTCATATTCATATGAAAGCACATACTGTGTAAAGCATACACAACATCTGTCTTTTTATATTTATAAATCTATCTGAGATATAATACAGCCATTCACTGTCTAGCGCTGAACAAAGGAAGAATTCACTTAACTTGATTTGTACTTATTGGAGCGATTTTATGGATAGATGCTTATAATACTTAATTTTGAATTTTCTGTACCAGATAAGATACATATACACAGACGATTTTAAAAAATGTTTTGTATCGTGAATATCTAATGGAAAACAGCCTAATGAGTGAAATCACAACTACTCATTTTTAGGCCTGCATATCAAATTAAGAATAAAACGCTGCCATAGCGTTAGATATTAATATTCAGTTGGCAGAAAGTCCTGGATCTAGGTTTTTGCTAGCTAACATTATTCAAAGGAGCATGTCTGAAACCCTGAAGAAAAAGAAGGTCTGTAACTATGTCACAATACCAAGTTATGAGCTTCCTGCTGAGTGACTCTTATCAGTATACACCGAAGCACAGTGTACCGTAGTCTCGTGTCATTTGTCTTATTGGTTACATTGCCAATGTTTTACGGCAGATTTTGATCGGCTCTAAACACTAAAACCAAGACCAGACTACCCACTAGCAATCAGTTTATGAAAGTAATACGCTGCTTGAGACAATCCTTTTTGGTTATGTTCATTTGAGTTTTGCTGAATATGCTTGAGACGTGCAATGGAGAGTAACCAACTTCTTGTTGTCTATTCCTAAGTGCTAAGAGACTCCCCACCACGATGCATTGAGATGGACATTGATTGGATGAAAGTAATCCCCAGGAAACCCTGGAGCTGCATCTCGTGCTTTTTGGCACTTGTCAGCAGGATATTTCCGCAACCTCAACGATGTCACTCAGTGCCGCAGTCGGAGGGGTTACCACTGAGCTATGTGGATTGCTACTGACCTCCTGGAGGACTTCACAACATGAAATTGGTTGCTTTCCAGTGACCAATCAATGTGTTTAATTTAGTCCAAAAGGAGGTGGATCCCTGTCTGAATAGCTGAGTGGAAACTTCACTGACTACAACACTTGGTGACGTGGGTAGGAATGTCACAGGAAACATCATTTTCGTTGCGGTTTCAGAAACGCCGTGCTGACGAGTGCCAGGAAGCATGAAACATAGATTCCAGCTTCTTACCGATCACCCCATCCAACTAACCTGTGTGAAGTTTTTTATTTCCTATAGACTACATCATGGGTTTTGGTATTGATATACGCGAACTTTTAATTCCAGTACATTAGGAAAACTTGAAGTTGGAACTGTGCCATCACAGCAAAATTCTGTCTGTCATCTGGTCAACTTAAGCCACATAGAAACTGAAAGCTTACTAAGTTAAACTAGCTGATTGATTGGTCAGACTGAGTATTATACAGGAGGTTTTGCCGGACTTTCTGGCTTTTCTACTTTCTTTCTTAGTCTAGGTTATGATTAGTACAATGATGAATAGAAAACATTGTTTTCATTGAGCACGACAAAGCACAGTCTATAACAGTTATACTTTCACTATGATCCATATGTTGGTTATTTATATACCCCCAAGCGAGGTTAAAATCTTGTTGGTAATTCGGATCTTATGAGTATTCTAAATATGAAATTAAAAGCCTCACGTTACAGTCCTTATTTGTAAAAACTTACCAGTGAAGCGAATAAACCCTTAAAGTTAATGTTACCAGGATTACACTCCGATTAAAATTATGGCTAATTTTCTTCCCAAACATATTCTAGTTAGTTTATGTGGAAGTTAAAGAAATTTCTGAAAAAACTTAAGTCAGTTAAATCCTGGAATATAAAATGAATAACTGGGTGCCCAAAATAGGCGACGACAACGATGACTGAATTTCACATTTGGATTTTCACGAATTGCATGCTTAATGTCTCAGACCACGTACTTAGGAAGATTTGACCTGATTTTTTCAATGTAATTCAAATAAGTATAATTTCTGTTCACAGGCAGCCTGGTTGTTAGTGAATTTAGTCGTGAATCTTTGATAAGTGACTGTTGTATTATTATATTAGCGTGTAATTTACTAAGTGTTTAAATGGAGGATACTTCCGGTTTTATGTGTTATTAAATTTTATATCGGAAATGTAATCCAATCCATCATGTATAAGATGGCAGTTTGTACCACAGATTGACCTCAGCCACAGAATCAATGAAAAACTGAAAGTATTAGGCATCAGTTTCCTCTTAGTTTCAGAACTTAGAAGTAGTACATATTGACGACTGCATGAACAGTGAATGTACCAGAAATCCGAACGTGTCTCATGTTGGACATTTTACCGTTTAGCCACCAGGTTGAAATTTGATGCTCTACATTTTTCAAATTTTGATGATATAGTAAAATCATTGCTTCATATCAGCGGTGAGTATCTGAACTCTCATCCGACTAGGCTAACTCTACTGATCACGGTTACTCATTTTACATTCGTGAAATTCTGCTTGAAGTAACTTATCGATTAACACTGAGTTGTCATTCAACTGAATTTAACTCTTTACTATTTAATGGGTATTCCATGACGTCACCACGTGAATAACACAAAAGTCAGGTGTAGGGTTTTGGGGAGAAGAGGTAAGACAGTTGATGAGGTTGTGAACCTTCATCGGCTGAGATGGTTGGGTCATGTGTTACATATTCCTAGTCGCCGATTGCCTCATCACACAATGTGGGCCGAATTAGGTCCAGGCTGGAAAAAGGCTCGAGGTGGCCAGACTAAAACATGGCATGAATGTATGAAGTCTCTGACTGTTGGTCTGAGCCATGAAGGGAATGCAGACTAGGTGGTTGGGGTCCGCGGGACAAGAGAAACCAGTGGTTGGAGACTGTAGGTGATCACATGGCTTAGAACGGATATCAGTGGTGTAAATGTATACCTACATTATCTTGATAGTGAGGACGCTATACCGAATCTCACCATTTCCTAATTCTTCCTTTCTTTCTTGTACATTATATTTCTTTTGACTGAATTTTCTTATCTTCATTTTGCACTTCACTGCCTTTTTACTTGATGTGCTGATATAAGCTGTGACAACTCGGACCGTAAAGCAGTAATGCCTGGTCTTATGTTGATATTGATGATGATGATGATGATGATGATGCACTACTGAAATGTCAAAGGAATTTAACGAAATAGACATCCATTGGTTCCAAGGATTTCACTGGTTATCCACCGTGATAGGGTTTCTTTATTAAAAATACACTGAAATCGACCAATCCCGCAAATAAACCTAACTGCCAAGTGTAATTGGTTAACTACATTATACTTATATGTGCATGACTTTTAAAGATATGTATTATTTTCACTGTGCGATGTAACTATTCTGAAACTCTCTCTGACCGCTACCATTCTAATTGTAAGATTTAATAGATACAGTATAATACACAATTAAACAGCTTATTTTGCTATTATTTTCTACAAGCATTTGAAATTGTACAAACGATTACATATCAGTGTAAATATGTTTGTTTTTTCTCGTAAAAAGGTATACCAGATGAAATTTAATCAATCAGATCTAGATGCACAACAATTTATGCAATTATTTCAAACATTGGATGTACTAAGTCCACCATTTCACGTAAGAATAAATGCATAAATTTATTCTTAAAAATCTATAAACTCTCATATTTTTCCTACATGTTATGTTGATCAGACAACCTTAAACAAGTGCAGTTTCGAATAGGGGGTTTTTAAACAATTGGATAGTGATTGACACTAAAAAGAAAAAGATTTTTCCAGCAGGAGTTGAACCAGTGGCCTACATGTTCGAAAATATTACGCAGTCGAGTAGCTGTGGTAAGCTCTTACAATTTAATAAAGTGTTTAAAGTAGGATGAATAACTTAAAAAATTTACATCAATTCACTTACAGTTCTTAAGATACTTCATCAAATCGTTGACAGTTCAGCATATTGATATTTTGAGTAGTATAGCTACTTAACTGTTTCTCACATAAATATGTACTTAGCTCAATGAGATAGTGATGAAGTAAGCTGGTTGTTGCAATATGTAAATCATATCAATTCGAATAAACAACGTAATAATGATTTACATTTAGATAAAACCATTCAAGAACAGACAGAAAAAAAAGTAACGACTTGAAAACTTAACTTGTTTTTGTTTTCTTCCTGATAAGTGATCTCGATTCGTACAATAAATCATCCAACTTATGTTTCTTTAAAAGTGGGTTGGAAAACTGCACAATTATTCCCATAAAAGTTGTGCGCAAGCAAAAAACATGGCTAATTTTCGCCTCACACACAACTGACTAAGTATTTGAATCTGTGAGTAATCACATATGAGTAGAATATTAATTGTCTGCATTTCAGTTTCTTGTGAATGAATAAGATTTCTTTTTTATTTATCATAAAAATTTGTCCCTTGCGTTCCTAGTGGAACATACGGCTTCAGTAGCACGTCACCATTTCACTCTCTTCTCTCCAGTATTTCTTTTAATCTGGCTACACGTCTGCCCACAAGCTTTCATTTCTTCCTCACACAATCTCCTCCATGTCACCCTCCGCTCAGACGCCCAACTCGTCGTTTCCCATGCAGCCTCCACTCGACGCCACAGCCTGGCGCGTGATGTCCTCAAACGATCTTCTCAGTATATCCTCAATCCAATCCATCTCCACTTTCTTCTACATATTTACTGGGTGTGATGGGTTCTTCGTTGGCTCGTTGCCAGACAGTCAGAGTTCCTTGCTGATTATTCTTATTATTCTGACAATCCATCTGATCTATCTTCAGTGTCAGTGCCGAGTGAGGGAGCGTAGGCGGCAGCTGTTGATCATGTATGTATGCAGTTTGTTGGAAATGCTTTCGTAACGCACTAGGTGTCTCAACTATCACATAGAAGCACCGCCTTACTTGACTGACTGAAGTACTGTTGGAAATCCGGATATTGTTCACGCTTTATGCTGAGTGGAGTGGAGTAGATCTCCACACTGATTTCAGTTTAATGAAGGCTCTTTTTGCTTTTCCGATGCTGGCTTTCACATCCTCATCTGTGCCAGTGCCACCTGTAGTTGAAACGATGCTGCCTCGCCTAGGTAGGTGGAAGAGACTACTACCTCTAGGTTTCTCCCGTTCATGGTGATTGGTGCTTGTTGTTGATGCTGTTGTTGGTTGGGTATTTTCATCACCTCTCTCTTCTCTGCATTCACTTGAAGTCCAGTCTTCGCTGCCTCCACTGCCAACTTGTTCGTTTTCGCCTGTAGATCTTTCAGGTAGTGCGACAAGACATTAGACAGAAATCATCATCCTTATCGGTGGTGGTGGCAGCGGCGAAATCCAAATCTTCTTCTGGGATATTTTCATCGGTCCAGCCAGTGCATGCCCATCTTCTCACAGCTCCTCACAGTTGTCTGTTGCACAATCCAGTCGATTCGATTCGAGTCGAGTCGAGTCAAGTCTAGTCTAGTCTAGTCTAGTCTAGTCGACCACAATCAGCAAGATCATGAGTGACAGTAGGCGGCAGCCTTGTCTTAATCCTGTGCCTTGTCTTCACTTCAAAGGCATCACTGAGCTTTCCATTGTGGATCACTCGGCATGTAGCATCATATGGCATATAGCTGCTGTTGAATGAGGTTGGTAAATGTTTGCGGCACCAGAACCATAGTGTTGAAGCAGTCGACCCTATCAAAGGCCTTTTCAAAGTCGATGAAGGTGAGTTGAGTTGACTGCCATTCTATGCTCTGTTCTATTATGATGCGTCCCGTAGCGTAGCGTAGCGTTGCAGTCTTATCCATTCATGATTTGTTCTTCCTGAATTCAGCCAGCCTGTTCCAGTTGTAATTTTGAATCCAGAACACTTTTAGTCTCTCTAGGATGATGCAGTTTAATACTTTGCTTGGTGTGGACAGGAGTGGAGCATGATTCGGCGTCAGTTCTTGCGAAGACTTATGTCTCCCTTCTTTGAGATTTTGACGAGGTAGTCCTTCTTCCAATTGTCAGGCAGGCATCTTTCCTTCCTTCTTTGCAAAGCTTCTGCAATAGTAGTGTGAACATGTTCGTTGTTGTCTCTGCGTCTGTTTTCAGTGCTTCCGGAGGAATTCCATCTGGTACTGCTGCTCACCCGGATTTCAGCAACTTCATGGCGTTCAAGACTTCACTTCTGCTTTTGTCGGAGTGCTTATGCTCAGTAGCAATTCTGTGTCTGGGCTGCTGGTGATATTTCTGGAGGAGTTGCAAGTGGTTGTGGCAACCAGGTTTCCTTCACTGTCTTTCATTGATTTCATCTGCGTTGATCTCTCCCCTCCCAGACAGCAAGTAACCTGGTTAGTTGATATAGTGTTGTCAGGTCTCTGTCACTCCTACCTGCAGCCTGTTCTGCTTCACTTGTAGGTGTGTTGTGGAAGTGTCTTTTGTGTTTGCGCCCACTCTTCTTCACTTCTTTATCCAGTGCAATCTTTTATATGTTGTGTTCAGTTATTCTTTTCGTTTTTCATCGCTACACTACACTACACTGCACCACACTGGTTTATCTTCTACTACACCATCTTACTCTTTCTCCTCCATCAGCTTCCATGTATCCGTCGAGATCCATACCATTTCTTGTCTTGCCTCTTCTTCCTTCTTCTTAACACGTCTATGCAGATTTCCTTCCACGTCTGTTTCACAGAGTTCCAGTGTTCTTCCACACAGGTTTCTTCAGGGATGTTGCTTAGTGTCCCGCATTTCTTGCTGATGGCTGACTAACATGAAGATGTTCTTTGTAGTCTTGTCCTTCAGTTCAGTTTCTGTTCTGTGTTCAACTTGAACTGTGGGCGTCTATCACCAACTTCTTTGAAGGCTTTCAACTTGAGTTTGAAGGTAGGTTCGTTGCACTGGACAGTGAGTGGTGTGAACCCACATCTGCTTCTCTTCCTGATCTGATCTTGTGTCCAGTAGGCTGCGTCTCCCATCGCCTTTCAGAGAGCCTTCGATGATGTTGGGGACATCATGATGGTCACTCCATAACTCGGTATCCCGTGGTTGTCCTCTGGTTGATTTTATCGTAATAGATTATTGACTCTCCATTTGACAGTTTGGAGAGTCCACTTCCATTCCATCTACTGATTTCGCACAGATTCCTAGCACTTTGTTGCCATATCTTCTCATCACTTTTGCAACCTGGGCAGCCTTGCCAGCCAGCTTCAAACATTGTGTGGACATTCCATATCTCCATGCTTACTTTGGCTTACATTGAGAGAGGCTAAGACACATCGACCGATTGGCTATCCGAAGGCTTTCACCAACCGGCGTCATTTCGTCTTCCCGATTGCAGAGAGGAATAGGTTTATTTTTTTAAAAATACTTTCTTTGTGCTTTGAAGCTTCTTTAGCAATTGGATTGGTTTTTGGGGGTGGGGTTGCCAGCCGTATGCCCAACCTTCCCTTTTTATCCGAGCGTAAGACCGGCTAGTAACTAGTGAACCAGTTAACCAGTGGAGGTTGGTTTATTTTTTATGGTGGAACTTAATAAAATTCTCGACTGTAAGAAGGCAACTTAAAGACTTATTTTTTTGTCGCAGACACTTCCGTATCAAGTTGATTGCTGGTGAGAAATATTCTGCTCACCGGTTCCATGCCAATATGAAATCAACAAACGGATAATCCTACCATACACTAGAAATATATCAGAAATCACGACAAGATTACTGGGATAACTTGAAATTGGTGTGCCTTATAAACCAACGAATTCTCTCCAGACACTATTATGCAGGCCAAAGGATGCAACAACCAAAGAAGATAAACCGAATATCATTTACAAAATCAGCTGCAATAACTGTAGTCAACACTACACTGGACAAAGTGGCCGCCCTCTTCGCCTTCGTCTACACGAACACCGATTGGCTATTAAGCGTCACGACATTTCATCGCTCATGTCAGTGCATGTGGATAGTTATAGACATGAATTCAATTTCGACGGTGTAGAAATTTTGGACAGAGGAAACACAAAGAATATCAGAGAATTCCTAGAAGCTTGGCATTCAGGTCAGTCAGTCGATTAGTCAGCAATCAATAGATGTATAGACATAGACCCAATCTATCAACCAATGAGAAAAATGATCAACGATAGAAATGTCAGAGATCAACAGGGAAATCTATACAGTCTGTCAATGACAACAACCGAAGGAAACAACCAATCACAAACCTGTTCGTTAGGTTAAGTGACTAAATCAGTCACGGAGAAATATTGACAGCTCACTTCATACTGAAATTAGTACTGATGATGTCGTCTAGAAAGACGATGAATGCTCCACGATTAAATAACCCAGCTCGGAGAACACAATACAACCAAGAACAGTATGAAATTAGCCAATCAACTCTACTTAGTTCTAACTTTTTCTTCATTTGGTAGTAAAATTACGACCAAATGGATTTTTAGACTCTTTCTAATTTGCTTCATAAATGTAGTTCGAAATGCGTTGAAATTTGTTGTTTAAGCACAGAAAATACCTGTTATTTTCTAATGTAAACTAGTTCCTGCAGTAGTTGATACTCAAAAGTCTATCTGTGCTTTATTCAGCATCCATTGCAACAGTTGCCTGCCAGTCGGTTTGCCCGCATGTTTCAAAGATGGATTATATCTAAAGGATTCGAGTTGGTCAGTATTGCTGTTTCAGTACTAAATGTGATATTTTTGTGTGTAAGTTTACAGTTGTTTTATGCCTATATATCTTTCATATTTTCCATCATATTTAATTCCCAACAACATTGGATCTTCTTCAGATTCCAGCATCTCTATCCTACATTTGTAATTTTATAAAATTTTGTTTTCATTGTTTTTCTGTTCTTTTGAAATGATACTGGAATGATCAAATTCGGACATCTTACGATTTGATTTTAAGAGGTAATATGGTTTCTTCCAGCAGATAAGTGATAAAATTTCTATCAGACAACCTTTTAATTGGATAATTGCTAAAGGTATAACTATTTAAAGCACTTCTGAATAATGAACAAAAAAGGTCTGTTGTTTAATGAACTTATAGAAACTTAATGCATCTATATGTACACGAATCGGTTAACAGTTTGCGACTTATCGTCTATTTCTCAGTATTCACTCCTGATTGAAAATTAGCGATCATATTTGCAGTGCGGCAACTAAGTTGTGTGACACGATACTGTGGTACTCTGTTTTTTGGCTTTAGTTTATGGAAGTCAGTTAGGGTAAAACCGTGAACCCAGGTTTCGTGCTTGTTGGCACTAATCAGTTAGGTGTCTTCTCGTTTATTAGAGCTTGCATCGTGAAACCTCTTTTCATGGCTTCCTGCTGACTGAATATTAAACCTCTAACACCAAAATACAGTGTACAGCAGTGTTGTGTCTTTTAGCTTAGTGGTCACACTGAGGCCTTGATCCACCGAATTTGATCAGTGTTAGGTGCGAAAGACGAAAGTGGCACAATGATTGCCTAATGTTAACCGATTCCCGTACATAATCCAGTTCTACAGGGGGTCAGTTGTGACCTGTACAGCTTAGTCAATAATTATTCGGCTTCAGCACTGAGAAGTGCAGGTTCGAATCTTCAAGGTAACACTAGTGTCCTCATATTTGCAGATACGTAATGCTGGCAAATGTCAGCAAATGTGAAACCTACGTCCATTGCTTCCTTTCAATTGACTTCTAACTTGTAGCACTTATAAATTTACATATATCTAATCTGCAACATCGTGACAGATTATCAGCTATGTCATCATTTGATCTGTGGGATTTTGAAGACACCAGCTAGATACCTTGAATTTTTTTAAACAGCGGTGATCATCGGCCACTAGCTTCAAACGCAGTAACGTAACACAACTATCTAATTCTGTCTGAGGATTCGAACAATTCTGCAGTCAACATACAAGTGCAGAATCAATACTGACAGTAAAGAATTCGAATCATTTATTTTTGCCTTACTGTATGCATGGATGCAGCCGCTCTTCCGTGAAATGCATCAGTTTCTTTGATCATTGGCTTTTTCTCTGTTTCATTTTACAAGGGGTTGATGCACTCTTCTGCAGTAACTTATTTTTCAAAACCATATTATCTGGTGTTTTCAAAGTATCTGGAGGTACAACTGTTGATTTTTTGATGCTGTACATAAAAGTAGTAGATTTTCTGCAAGACAATTGCAATTATAATACATGTTTTTAAGAATTCCACTTGACTCCTTCTGTAGTTCGAAAAAATTCATATAAATTAGCAATCAACTTCCCTCAGTTTAATAAAGAAACATGAGCATTAGATGAAAGGTGTCTACGTTCACAAATGAGCACTCAGCCAAGAAAATCTGTTTAACTCAATCTTCTGAACCGAATTCTTCATAATACCATGTTCTAACCATACTCATTTATTATGCTCTGAAGCATAGAACAAATGAGTTTGACTTACTGGAAACTTTAAAATAGTTTAGCACTACATGACGTGAATAAGTATACTTGACAATTCAAGTTTTTAGAAATTAGGCCACCTAGTATATTATTCTACATCCAGGTGTAGACCAAGAAAGCTCTTACTGCTTCACAAGAGAATTTACACTTTGCTTTAAGAGAAATTTGCACTCATACAAGTGACTCGCAAATATCTGCAATAATGAACGTTGTATTTACCTGATTGTTTCTAAATAGTGCGGTCACAAAACTTCACTACTTCTGATAAGTCCACATCATATTGCAGTACGAAGCTTTTATGATCACAACTACGGATACCATGTACATTTAGTGGTGAATCTCAAGTGCCATCGATGATTTTTACCACGGTTTTATGCTAAACCCATCTGGTGAACACAAGTTGAAAGTTGCGCTGAAAATTCATGTATCACCATCTAGAACAATATCTGGGAACAACATCACTCACTGGGAGGCAGGTAGATCCGGATAACCAGTCCCAAATAGGACGAAATGCACATCGTGGATTCCACTGCTAGCCACTGCCCATCATTACTATGCAAAGATATTTTATTGTCATATCACTCGTTTCGAAATTAAACAGCTAAATCAGTAATGAAGGACGAATATATCAGTTTATCGATAAACAATTGGCAGATGTTCTACGTTTTCTACATTGATTCTAATACAAGCGATAAAGCTTTAGAGTCCAAGCAGTCTTAAAATGAAAGCGGTTATAGGCGTAAACAGCTTTCGAAAATTATGATCTCGGATAAGTGAGGCATCACATACATAGTATTACCCACGGTGATGCATTATACTAACCGTCTTCATTACTTGAGTTGAAGCTTTAACAGAAAAAGGTTGATCCAGAATCCAAAATACAGCTCGTTTGTGACATCCTCTGGCGCTAACATAACTTCTCAGACACAAGATTTTGTCGGACCAACACAACAGTTCAATATTTTTTGATTCACGCAGCCACAGACTCATCCCAACGTTTTGTCTTCGATGGAACAAGATTCATATCATGCTTACAAATGGTTAAGTAAGCATTTTGAATGTCATGATAGAGTTAAAACTGAGTGTTCTCTTACTTAGGGTCAAACAGTATTCTTCAGAAAAGCACATTGTGCTACGTAACTTTTACGCAAACCTCTCCCTTCTGAACAATGTAGAATGACAGTTTTGTTCAACAAATCAAAGCAAAAACATGATGTCAAGATATACAGTAATTACCGATCTACAAGAAGACTGAACACGTCAACGTCGATACGACACCTAAAAATCTAAGTCTATCACTCTCATGTCAGCTCTTTTCAAGCACTATATACATTACTTGAACTCTTTTCAAATGCAGTTTCAACGATGACAGCAGACAATTAGTCTACAGTACTTTTTAAAAGGATACAGTCAGTTTTTTAACTAGATTTTAGCCTGCATCCACATTTAAAGGCCAGATATAGTTTTTATGCGGTTGATCAGTATTGCATTAAATATCTCAATTTCTTTCTTTCCTTTTCTTCTTCAACTAGTTGAAGTTAGCTGACAGCAAAGCATCAGACATTAAAGTATAGATAAGGAATGAGTGGAATATGTCCAGAATATAATTTGTATGTAAAATGATTGCTGAACATTATTTGTTGACCCTAACTACTGCAGCTAACCGGGTAATAGAGAATATGGATTCACACTAGAATCTGTCAGTCGACTGCTACTTCGAGAAAATTGAACTATTAAAAAATGAATTTTAAATTATTCTTACATCAGAAAGTTTCTCAACACCTTGAAACAAATAAGTTTTAAGCAACCTAAAATGACGGAAGTTCCTTTTAGTGTCTTACACATGGTTAGTTGTACACATGTAATTATTCTATGAACATTTTTGAAGAGAATGAAAAAAATGTGACTTTAGGATGATAGGATTACGACTTTTTACATCATTATTTTCTTTTCACTTCTATAAGCGAAATAAATCTAAAAAGACAATCAAATGTACGCAGAATGATTGGGATGTCAATATTTAACTGAAACAAACACCATATATCTAAAACTGGTCGTTGAACTCTGTTTTGTGGAAAAATATAAACAGCTGTCTTGGAGGCTAACTTATTGCATATGACTATCACTTTTCGACCAATAACAGTGGGTCCGCGAAGAAATTCAAAATATGTGATTTTATCAAATTGCTCGGTCAGAAGGTTTATTATCAGGAAATCAAACCAACGATGTAGAATAACATTGTACGAGTAATTGAAAATTAAGAACTGTACTGAAGCTTAGAATGAGATGAAAACCTATATTTTGTAAAGTCTGAAATTGGATTACATGTAATTATGAAAAAGCTTAGTTTAGCTTAACGAGCTGAAGAGATTGAACATATCACTCAAAAATCTATCTTCCAAGTGTACCTATTTCATTAATGCATACTGTTGTTATTGTGTTTGTTCCGTTTATTTATAACTAACACTCATTTCAATATGTAACCGATCGATTATCCACATATAAACAAGTGTGGGTAACCTTGAATAGAATTGATTTACAGTCTGTTGGTCATACGTAATATTTATTTCAATATTACGTTACGTAGGTGATTTGAATAGCGACAACTCTTAGTTTACCCCTCGGTATCCTATGCCTTCTACCCAAATATTCTATCATGTCACTTTTCATCTTTTAAAGTTATCCCTAAAAAAATACTGATATCCTTGATATTCGAGTAAATTCAAACTGCAATATATGTGCATATATAATGGCACTGACTGATAAAGTGATTTTGGTTTGTTATTTCGCATGTTCAAATAACTTTCGATACATCTCTCAATTACATATGTCAAGTGTTTGACTAATGTATTTATTGGCCTCAATTGTTTCTATTATTCAAGATAACCCTGCCTATGCCAAATTGGATTTTCTAATTTTTCTTATTTTAGGTAGATATTTCCTATAGTCTTTCCACGGGCATATATCCCAGCTTTACAATGCGTGTAAGACTATTATTTTGTTGTAAAAGTGTTGTTTTCCAATGTAATAGCGTATGCAAAAAGGTGACCAGCTTACCACAACTTTTATCATCAAATTCTTCCCTTTCAGTTTGTTTTACTCTTCTAAATGACGTCTGAACGTATCATGTACTCCCGGATGTTTTTCAAATGTTTTGGAGCTTTGTTTTTCATCCTAAGAACAAAAATAAGGAAAAAGTTACACCAGTCGGAAATGGATGTGTAAATGCTCAAACATACAGCACATTACTATTTCTAGACAACTTGTACGGGATTATGAATTTCTGTACTAGTTGACTGACTGAACTACCACCAACAAAATTACACTGAATTTGAGTTCATTTTCGAATCAAGACCAGATGCTTATGTAACACCAGTTGCCCGTTTCTTATTTATCCCTTTATTACTGTTGTTAATAACACTATGCAGACGTAATAGCTATTTCTTTTAAAAATGTTGTACGGAAAGCGAATTTGTCAAAGTTTTCTATGATAAAAATTCTTCATTGTATCATACATTTCGTTTGGAATTAAACTATTTTTGTGGTTATTATTATTAAAATGTTTTAGCTTTTGTACTCTATTTGTGACCACATATTTAAGCTGGACGACTCTCCATTTAGTTAGTATCGGTGACTAAATTCTGGTTACAATCAAATTTGGCATAATAGTTCAGGAGACTTACTCCACATGAAGGAGTTCACAGCATTTCTCTTAAAAGAATATGACCAGTTATTAGTCTAACATTTTATTCTATAAGTTTCCATTGCTTTCATTTTACTACTTCATTACTTCCCTTTTTATCAACTCTTAACATCACATGTCAGATTAACTAAAATGATATCTCCATTTCATTGTACCTTATGCCTTTTTATCTGAAAAGTAAGATCGAAATATACTAATATTTTTTGTTTTGAAAATACAGTGTAATTCGTGCACACAAGTGTATGAACTGGAGCCTTAGATAGTTGAAAGAAATCATCATTCCCAAAAGCCTAAATTTTAGGCCTTAGGTTCATAGTCTTTTCATTTCGAATCGATGTAGCTGATTTTCAAGGGCATTTATTCATTTTTTTACCCTGAACTTTATTAACTGCACACGGATTAACAGTATTCAAGGGATTTAGCAGACAGAACTAAGTCTAGGGCTTCAATCTGATCACTTACAGCCGTGTGACGTTAAATAAAGTGGGAATCTATGATGCTTTTAGTAACTTAATTAACATACTGCAAGTTTAGTTGGTGGGATTCAGTCAGCATGTAGAAACAGGTAACAGCACTGGTCACTCTTTAGCAATCAGTTAACATTATCTAGCCTAGTCCCGTGGAATTTTAATTGCTGTCAGTGGAACTGTGGCTCATTTACTTGTGGAGGTGATTTCCAACCAGTGGGTCACTAGTTCGAGCCTCGCTCCAGCAATAATACTACTAATAATAATGGCTTTATTCTGAAAGCTATTCCGAGAATACTCTATGGAATTTTCAGCACGTCATATAGCATCAGTTGGATAGAAACAGTGTATATCTATACATAGCAAAATGAAATAAGTATAAATTACATGAGGTTAAGGTAGCCAGGTAGTATCACTAGCCCTCATACAATAAGAGTAGATCATAGCCTGCTGCACGAATGTGCAAGAGATCGCTGAGTGCATCTCGATAATTGCTGTCCAAATACTTCAATGGTAGAGTTTTTGACTGAAACATTGAGCAATGTAAGATCTCTGAGACAGCATCATTTCCCTTTGATTAGTAGATGAGCCTTTGCTGAAGAGTACCAAATGCCATGAAACTATATAGTTTCACAGCTTTTTTCCAACTGCCTGCAACCATACAGTAGTTACTTTTTCATAAACAGGTGGTTAAACATAAGGCTTTTTCGGCAAACCAGTATAGTTGGCAAGATACCTGATAAATAAGGTTAACAAAATTTGTCAGTGCCCGAAAGTGAGTAGTTTTTAGAACGTTTAGCCTTAAACAATATGTTGTGTTTAAATATCCGACTAATTTGGAAGTGTTGTTAAACTGAGTCAGTTTTTAAATATTTCTTGTAGATAATTTCATGAAGATATGACTAGTCAAATATTTCATTTCCTTTCCAATCGAATTATCAAGTATTTTCCGCATGATCCCTTATTTTACGTCAAATTCGTAAACAGTAATCACAGGAACTATCAGACGTTGATAGAAAGGATACCCGTAGACCAAAATGACTCTAAAGGACACCCTAACGACTACTGAAGTAACCAATTAGAGTTCTGTAATTTTGAAAAAAACTGCCTTCCGCGTCCAAATACTGAAACCCGATTAGTTGCTTCAGTTGTTGCTGGGGTGGTATTTAATCTCCCTAGTTTTCTGCATTTGATGAAATCACTGTAGTAACTCCAAAGGATATCCTGGCAACAGCTGAAATAACCAGACTTCCTTATTTTATGAAAACTTCACCTTACTAGCCAAAATTACTATCATCAGCAGATTCAAAATAATTTGATACAAGTGTGTCTGCTTTCTGAAAGTCAGTTCAGTACTTACTTAGAACTGTATTTCACATCGTTGAGAAGTCAAAGGGCTTGAAAACTGTGTTTACTTTGTCCCCATCAACTTCTTCAGTCTTTGAATGGTCATTACTGAAGTAATTGATTGGCTTTAAATAATAAACTTATTTACCATTTAAAGTATATTAGTTCATTTCTATGATGGTGGTCTTTAGTTTAACCCTTGCTCGTTAGCATACCAGCACATCTAAGAATAACCTATGTAGTCAGTTCTATGTTCATAGTTCGATTTTACCTATCTGTCACTACTACTTGTATAAAAATAGTTGTACTTTTTTTTACTCAAAAAACATTGTTTACTCTGTGCCTACTAAAAAGGTTATTACCATGTTCATGCATGTTGTTTTTAGTGAAATGTTTTTGTTACTAGCATTTTTACAAGAGGCCTTCTTAATACACATACCTGAAAATATGATCTTTTGTTGACACGTTTAGAACTGTATCAACCGCAATATTGTTATAAGTTTCCACCAGAACTGATGATATAAATAACATTTTGTTGCAAGTTATTGCTTATGTGTTATAAAGCGAAAACCTGTCAAAATTACTGCTCAGGTGGAATGTAAATCTGATTTTAAAAAATTAATAAACATTTCATTGATTCAGATAACTGATTTTTGAAGTACATCTAATAGACTGTAATAATGACAAGTGGTTTTCGATCACAAGGAATCAACTCCTTGCTTTAGCACTGTGCACACATCACTCATACTGACTGGAGGCACGAAATTGAAACTGTTGATTTAAATATTATCGTAATAAGTGTTGATCACAGAATATCACTGCTGTGCTATTCATTTACTAACTCGGTTATTTAAAAAATGTTCCTTGAAGAAATATAACGAATAAGCATACTAAAACTTTGTAGTTGACTACGAAAATGAGAGCCTCTGAACAATAACTATAAACTGACTGCATATCTATCTCTGACTGGCCTAAAAGACCACAGCGAAACTCTACACTACACAAATAATATATCAATATGCAGTAATTCTACTCAGAATATTTATACTTGATAATTATCCTTATTTTATACTATATAGTTTGTCAGCTGGTGCTTTGTCATCTACTACTTGTTTGAACAATGCTCTCTTGCATGGGCTTATGGTCGAAAAACATTTTTCTCAAAAAAATCTAATGTATTTGGTTTTTCAATTGTGATAATTTTACTGGTGAGTCATTATAATTTTTACCATCTATCCGTATTTGTCATCTGCATGTATACACTTATTATTCCTGTTACTTTTCAAGTCTATTATCTAATATCTAGTCTAATATCTGTCAGAATTAGTACAAATGTGAAATAAATTCGTCAATATTATAGCTACAACGACATAGTTTTTTTAAGGAAAAGTAGTGTATCCACGAATTCTAGTTGATATGCACAAATACAAAATAGCTAGCAATATTCAACGATTTCTTTCATGAGACTGACAGTTATCTTTAGCAGCTTACGCTCAATTTTGTTTTAAATAAGGAGATATGCTGTACTCATTATAAGTTCACATGATCCCTGAAATCATCTTGATGAACAAACTAATTTAAGAAATCGTGTAATACTTGACAGATAGTCAGTGATACCTATGGATAGTTTGCATTTGTTTTCTTTTCACAGCAAAGTGTTAAGAAAATTTAAGTGCTGATTAGACCTGAAAGTCATTGATTATGACGTTTTCCTGCTTGAAAGAAAAATGACCATAACTAGTTAACATTTTGAAGAATAATAATCTTTATGGTCAGGGGAAGATTATTGAGTCGCTCAAAATTTTGATGAGCTGTATGTATGCTTGAGAAGTGTGTTCGTGTTGACCAAAGACTACACAAAGAGCTCAATATTTTATTGCTAAGGATCTTTTATGCTATTAGAAATCTTTATACATTGGAACTGTATTAAAATATCATGAACTTTTATAAGTTTGTCGTAAATGTATCACAGTTCATGTTCAATCTTTTCACTTTTCCCTTACCAGTAATTTTATTACTACGTTGTACTTACATTTTTCAGATTTTTAAATTATGTGAACTTGGACTCCTAATAGCCAATTTGTCGTAAGTTCTAATGAAGTATTCTAGTGGAAACTGACAGTATATATGTTGCCCCATTTTGAACTTACAATAATCGCCTATGAAGTGACCGACTGAATTATAATTAATACGCCAAACTATAATAACGCCAATTGAGATACTTGGACTGGATATGAATACTGACTGCTCTCTCTCTCTCTCTCTCAGAACCTATTACTTCACTGTGCCGCGACACTACAGAGACAAATACCAGCCTAAGACTCCAAGAAAGACAACTTTATTTTACAAAAAAACATGATTTATACACAGTTTTCCGTCAGAAATGAAGCCATCAGGTGACAAGTTGGGTGTTTATTTTCACTAGTCAGCTGAAGGACGAAATTGTTCAGAAGGGTTTTCCCATCCATACGAAACCAAGGTTGTATTCCAAAACGTCTGCATTGGTGGCTAATAGCCTTGAATGATGATTTCGACTTAGGCTGCTGCCTGTCACGCTATATATGTTCTATAAAAGTCCTTGGTTGTATAACTGACAGGCCTACACCTCACCTATATTTCTCAGCAGGAGTGGAGTGCAATCATTTTACGTTATGTCTGAATGTTGCTTAGACTGTGTTTCCACCTCCTGACGCTAATCAACTTCGCTTAGTTTATTCAAATAATTATAAAAAGTATCACATAAAATGAGTTTTTGTATTAGACATTTATTATTTTTAAAAGGTTAGATTATCATCCATATTACCTATCAATCAAAAGTAATCATTATTTTGCCACACCAATCTCTTGTAAACTCGTGATTCAGCGAAAAAGATGGTGTGCTCTAAATTCTCCTAATCCAATCCAGGTTGGATTGAATGTTATAGTAAAATGGTTATGAATGTTAGCGTCAAGTTTTATTCCGTTCTTCGAATGAATTACTGACAACCTTTTTGGTGTGAGATACTAGGACCCGAGCAGCTAGAAACACTGGAATCGAGTTCAGTGTTTACTGATACTCTTCAGCGAAAAGTGCCAGGAGCCACCAGGAAACTGATATTTGCTTAGTTATTCTAACTTTCGTTGCTCGATGTCGAAGTCAGGTTGTTTACCACTAATTTATTCAGTTCAATACCGACTGCGGTAGAGTTAGAGCATGAGCACCACTTGACTAATGGTTGATAACCAATACATTTTGGGACAAAGGGTTCTTGCAAAATTTCAGACATATCTTACTGATAAGTACCAACTAAAGCGAGACATATATTCCTAGCTACTTTCCTACTGACGTCTAACATCTACGGCCAAAACACACTTTACTTGAGTATCACTGCACTTATCTAAGGAGCCACTTTCCGAATCTTGTCGTTAGACTTTGACCATATTCGAGTTCTTAGAACTTGGTGGCTTAATCAGTTACCCTTTGGTGTACGATTCCAGTACAGTTTTTCTGTCTAGTGTAAACTATATTGACTAACTTATCATCATCAATGTAGATACAGATTTCACCAAGAAGGTTTACTTCAGGCATGGATTAAGGTGCTAGAAAAAACAACTTAAAAACTGTTGTGATCCAAAGTCGTCGCTCACTGAAATGTGATGAGTACTAAACTACTAAATGAAATGATGGTATTCTGCGTTTGACTTCCACTTGCAATGAAAACATTATTTTGAGAGAAAGGAATTCAAGCGGCATGAAATAAATATTAGGAATTAATAATGAGGCACATTTGAGTGGTTTCTTGATTCATAAAATTAAATACGATTACGTTACATTGACTGTGAAGACCGTTTATCACAAATTATGCGAACAAACCTATGTCATCATGTGGCCACCGTAGATATATCCATTTAAATAAAAGTCCCCGAAATTTGTTAGTTATTCGACAGCTATGTGGAGCTACAAAAATACCTAACCAAGATGAACAGAAAGATTTTTAGCTTCAGTGAGTTAAACTGGTCACAAATCGACTCTCTATTAGGTTTTGAAACACAAACTTAAAAAGTTATATGCTGATTATATTTCCTGATTAAAGTTGATATTCCATTATTGAAGCTCCAAAAACCTCACCAACTTAACTTTGAAGTCCATATCAAATTAGTATGTTACTCAACTGATGGTTGTTGGTCTGAATTCTTTGAGTATTTTATGATTTCCTGCAAACCGTCATTTATGTTAACGACATACTGTTGTTTCAGCTTAAAATTCTTGCCTTCATCAATTATGTTCAGTTCTGATGATGGCTCCTTTTACTTTGTTCTCCTGCTCGGAGATGACATCGACTAGATTATGTACACGATATAGTACCACCAGTGAAGAAACTGAAGTAAGCGAAATAACTGGATAAATAATAATTTGAATGAAATAACCATAATTCGTCTGTTAGGTTGTCCAACTGCAGTGATTAAAATGGCTGAGATATGAGAGACTGATTTACTACCTAACTCCAAGACAACAGGAATACAAGAAATTTTCAAGTTGGTCAAACGCTGGCATAGGTAACTGAGTTCTAATCTTCTAGTCAACTAACTAGCTGGAAACCTTATGATACTAAGTACCAGTGCTTGGATAACACAAAATACCAGGTTGTACGTTGCTTTGTTTTCTTTATTTGGAAGACATCTATTTAACTCAGCAGTATTCTAAGAGTAAAATATAGTTTTCAGTCTATATTTAAGCAGTTAACCAAACTTATAGTAGTATTTTTGACAAATGCTATTTAATACTTTCACCTTTCAAAAGAGATATTTAATATGTGATCGAAACATCACAGATAGGATGTAGGCGTTCCATGAGTCATCTAGTACAATACAACTTTGGGCGAAGATGGCCTTATACACTTGGTATGCTCTTAAGTAGTAAGAAGACAGAACATTTTAGCGTTGAAAAATCGTCTTCATAGTTTTGTTTGTTATAAGCGTTTGATATGTTATATGGTGATATGCTCTTGAGCAGTAAGAATCACAAATCCTAAAAAAACTATTCCTATTAAAGAATTTAGAAAAAAGATATCAGAATTTTACGAAATATAATGGTACAATATCATAGAAGTACTTCTGTGAACCTAGGTGATATTCGTTTTCGTTCAAACGAGTATTTTTATGGGGGTACTAGGAAATCAACCAACACAACATGAAAAATATTGTGTCAACCAAGGTTCCTGGCTAATACAAATCTACTTTATGGTGAACTACCTTTCTAAATGCGTAGTCATTACCAACATATGATCAGATTGGGTGCTGTGCTTATCCCGATATATCCCACTCAATTTAGAATGTATCATGCAGCTATATTCATCTTGGTGACTAGTAGTGGAATCTAGGACGTGCAATTCTTCCTATCTGTTACTCTTCAGCTGGATGTACACTCACTCCAGTAGGTGAAGCCACTGGGGCACCAGATTCAGACCCAACTCTTGTCCCCAGTAGTCTAGTGGATAACGGTTTGGCGTCTGGAGCCTCAGTGGGAACTATATCATTCACTAAGGTGTAAGTACATCCAGCTGACGAGTTCCAAGTGGGATGGAACGCTCGTTCTGGATTCCACTAGTAGTTACCAAGATGAATATAACATCAATAATGCCTGGCAGTATTAAGGCGTCCCTCTAGCAACCCTTCTGCTGACAAAGGTCAAGTGATTTGACCCTATATAGCAAGTTGAAATTACCAGTATCAATGCAACAATGAATCATCTAGTTTAAAATCGATCATCGATCCCCAACAGGTAGATTAAAATCTACAGCCATATTTATGTGAAGGAAATTTCTCACTAAATTTCTCAACCTCATTTTTAATGCTTCTTTGTGGACAGTAATAGAAACACGAGTTAAAATTTAATGAACCACAGAGATAATGGTAATAGTCGCCATCTGATATAACTTGATATAGAGATTCAAACTTATGTGCATCTCGATAAAAGCTGCAGATTCCACCCTTAGTGACTGCATGATTTCTTTCAAAATACAAGAGGCGATCACCTAATGGGTGTATGGCAGGGTCCAAATATGTGCAAAATACAACCATATGCACATTTATATTGAATTTGGTTAGTTTCTATTCCTTCAAGAAGGGCACTTTCTATTGATGCTGTCTCTTAAATCAATGTAATGTTTACACATTTGATCATGTGTATTTTCTTGAAACTTGAGAATATGTTGTTTGGCTGGAAAGGATTTCAGGATTTTGAGCTTTTCCATTTGCCACAAGCATAGTTTGCACACTTATTTGATGACCACAGAATAATCGAATTCTAAGTAGCTGATTTAATCTACTGCATAAGTCTATCAATCATAGCAGTGTGAACCAGAGGTAATGTATGCTTATATTTATGCGAAAGAGACATTGCAGGAGTAATTCATGAATTACATTTAAAGTTATTCCTTAAATTTCATTTCAATTTTTTAATTTTGTTGTAATTATATTACTCTACATACGCCTTTTTGTTTTTCACTTTGAAACCAAGTGAGAACCACTTACTACACTTTTCAGTGACAATTTGGGATGTTGTACGTCTCACTAATATTCTTCTTTTACTACGTGCTACAAGACTTATCAGTTTATTTCGATGGGCAAGATTAGTTGTTTGCGTTTTAGCAGACCTACCACGAAACCTCAGCCCTGTTCTGGGAATACTCTTATCGACTTTTTACTTTTATGCATTATTGGGTATGAACTTATTCTATGATGTCATTCAGTATACTAATTCTACGAATGCATCAAACCCGTAAGTGTTTCAATTCCTATTTTTCCTTTGTTTTATTTTTTGAAGCAACAGTAAATACATTTAAAGATTTGGGCAAATGAACACTTTCAAAATTGGAATTTTTCAAGTGAAGTGTTCAAAACAGCGATTTTATGCTCGAGTGTAATCTTATGGTCTTTATAAGACTTCTTGAGAATGAAATTTTTAGATAACATCTGCTTTTATCATATATTTTCATCAGAAAACTATGTTATCCGTTTCAAAAAAGCGAGATAATACTTCGAGGTCCTTACTATGCATAAATGGAATTACTCTTCTTTGCTGTGAATTGATGTAAGATTCGGACACAGAAAAAGAAGTCAAAGATATTTTCACAGTAATACGCGAGCATTTTTCATAGTTATGATGGATGTCTAAGAGGAAGTTTATCTGCATAAACAAAATTTTGATGAATACATGAAGTATAGAATTTTCTATATATGTTGTGTGAAGTGAACTAGATTAGGTGACTTCAAGTGCTCAGAGGATGCACGCTTAAATGAAAATACGTGCTGAGGACTTGGTGATCTACGAAAGTGTTAGTTTTCTGGATTCTGCCGATAGTTCACGTTCATATGGACTGGTAATTTCAAGACCCGTTTCCATGGCTTCTCGTAAATCATCTTTGGTGCATCAAACTTTTTTCAAACTCATTCAACAGCAGCTATATGCCACATGATGCTACATGCCGAGTGATCCACAATGGAAAGCTCAGTGATGCCTTTGAAGTGAAGACAAGGCACAGGAGTAAGACAAGGCTGCCGCCTACTGTCACTCATGATCTTGCTGATTGTGGTCGACTAGACTAGACTAGACTAGACTAGACTTGACTCGACTCGAATCGACTGGATTGTGCAACAGACAACTGTGAGGAGCTGTGAGAAGATGGGCATGCACTGGCTGGACCGATGAAAATATCCCAGAAGAAGATTTGGATTTCGCCGCTGCCACCACCGCCGATGAGGATGATGATTTATGTCTAATGTCTTGTCGCACTACCTGAAAGATCTACAGGCGAAAACGAACAAGTTGGCAGTGGAGGCAGCGAAGACTGGACTTCAAGTGAATGCAGAGAAGAGAGAGGTGATGAAAATACCCAACCAACAACAGCATCAACAACAAGCACCAATCACCATGAACGGGAGAAACCTAGAGGTAGTAGTCTCTTTCACGTACCCAGGTGAGGCAGCATCGTTTCAACTACAGGTGGCACTGGCACAGATGAGGATGTGAAAGCCAGCATCGGAAAAGCAAAAAGAGCCTTCATTAAACTGAAATCAGTGTGGAGATCTACTCCACTCCACTCAGCATAAAGCGTGAACAATATCCGGATTTCCAACACTACTTCAGTCAGTCAAGTAAGGCGGTGCTTCTATGTGATAGTTGAGACATGTGGTGCGTTACGAAAGCATTTCCAACAAACTGCATACATACATGATCAACAGCTGCCACCTACGCTCCCTCAGTCGGCACTGACACTGAAGATAGATCAGATGGATTGTCAGAATAATAAGAATAATCAGCAAGGAACTCTGACTGTCTGGCAACGAGCCAACGAAGAACCCATCACACCCAGTAAATATGTAGAAGAAAGTGGAGATGGATTGGATTGAGGATATACTGAGAAGATCGTTTGAGGACATCACGCGCCAGGCTGTGGCGTCGAGTGGAGGCTGCATGGGAAACGACGAGTTGGGCGTCTGAGCGGAGGGTGACATGGAGGAGATTGTGTGAGGAAGAAATGAAAGCTTGTGGGCAGACGTGTAGCCAGATTAAAAGAAATACTGGAGAGAAGAGAGTGAAATGGTGACGTGCTACTGAAGCCGTATGTTCCACTAGGTGCCCAAGGACAAATAATAATAATAAAATAATGAATTAGAAATGCTAACATGAAGCGCTTGTTAACATGATATCGAATAATGGGATTTTCCAATGTAATCTTGGTTCCACGATACCTGTTCATATCCACAACATTAACAATCTAATTTTAGAGGGAGATCCAGGCTGCAACAAAGCAAACGTTTACACGTTGTGTACCTATCGTCCTAGTGACTGAAGTGTTGGGCAGACGAATATGGCTCATTTGGACGACAACTATGAAATTTTACTTATTATCTAAAGATTAAATCAATACTGATTATCATATGGATTCCTAGCACCACCAGAAAAGACTCAGTCAGATGGTCTGAAAGTTGTTCACCAGAATACCGCTGGAGGTTAGGTTTTCTTCCAACCTTATTCACCTACCAGTTTCTATTCATAACTCAGACAAGTGAAAATGGTGTCCATTTCCGTAACCCAGTAGTGTCAACTGCCTGCTTACGCCTGTCATTGAATTTTAAATAAGCACTTTTATCTATTGATGCAAATAGGCCTAGGGAATTCGATATATCTCTATGTCTATACACCTAGATATTCCACAAGAGTTAAGAGGTTTAACCGGAAACCAATGTTTATTGATTGTTCCTCTGGCAATGACAATTTATCCATCCTTATTCTTTGTTTAAGTACATCTTTTTAATTGGCTTTTGTAATATTCTGACTTTTGAATTAGTGCATAAATTGATGACGGCATCACTTTTTAAAAATCAGTATGTATTAGGGAGTGTTTTAGTGAAGGTTTTTCAGTACTGATGTTTCATAATGAATAAGGACAATGTGTTTGGTGATATCATGACATTAATAATCAAGGTCACTTGTGTTGAATATCATGGTAAGAGGTAAAACATGAAATCAAACTGAACACCAATAGACAGCTTGGTCTACAAATTTGTGTTTAAATTACTGCGAAAACTTTTATTTTAAATTGGGAAATCAAATTACAATTTCACAAGACAAATGACGGATATGTTTGTCAGCTCTATTATTTAGGGAACAATGTCGCGCTTGTCATGTTCGTCCATATTCACATTGTTTGAATTCTTGTCAGTACTTTTTTCCGACGCCTGTATAGTGAGGGGCAACATTTACAAGAAAGTGCTTGTCACACGACATCGATAGATATTCAGCTGGGTTAAAGTATCCATAAACCAAGCTTAAATGGTTTTTGTTCTAGCTTATTTACACAACTACTATCTACCTTTCCTTAAACCGATGAGGTGTCGTCTAGAAATTTTTAATTTGAGTAAAATAATTCAGCCAAAAGGAGATTCTTCTAAATCAAATTTAAGAGATTTTGTAAATGAAAAGCAGGTACCGAAACGTCTAAGACAACGAATAAGATTCCTTTACTCCTGTACAAAGAAGTTTAAAATAAGTGTTGCAAAATTACGGGAATGTATATATGATTTGTTTTTTCACAAGTCTATGCTTTCCGATGTGTTCACACATATATTTTTAAGCAGTATTAAATATAATGTATAAATGAACCACTTGACTATTACGAAGATTATATTTCACTGTTTTAACGATGTTGCCTAATTACAACTTAAGCAGTTTAGTTAAAGCTTATATACCATGAAACTGCATGTTTCCCACAGCATGGTGTGCGTTGAGCATATTTAAAAGTTCGCTTTCTTTCAATCTCTGGCAGAAGCATCGATCAAGTCAAATGTGGACAATGAAAAGGTTTACTGATTTCAGGGATTTTTTAATGTGATTAGTAGATAAGGGAATAATTCATTGTGGTGGATGGCGACCTTGGTACCTGCTGACAGTTTCATTTGTAGCCGAAGTCCCATTGAATATCACAGGACACAGTTGAGAACTGAGTAATCAGGTATTTCTGTATTTAATTTCATATTCTGATGGACTATCACAAAGGAAGCATACCTGTGTACTGCTGATCAGATGCGGAACAGACAGTCAAAGATAATATAAAACGAATAGGTAGCCAATCAATTTTTACAATTGAGTGTACGGTAAGAGTTTCCCGCCATAAAAATGTTCTCAAACTCACAAACCACCCGTATTTGTTACGAATTTATCCAGAATCAGATAATAATAATAATAATATTACACCCATTAAAAGTAATCAAACCATTATAAACATCCAGGCCACAGTTGTTATATTAAGACTTAAAACTTATGTATATACATATCTATTCGGTGAATAGATCTGTAATCACTTGTTGTAGTAAAGCTATACACTACAGTTGTCTTTCCCTTTTAGCATATAGTTTTCCTCTTAGATAGTTACAGGATGTGACTAGATATGGAAGATTTGAAGCTTAAGGTTGAAACACCAGTTATTGGATCGTAAATAGTTTTTTACATGTGGACTACAATTCCACCTTCCATATACCAAACTGCGATCTCAATGTACAACCTGATAAGTTTTATTGGTATAGTAGCCCCAAATTAACAGTTGCACAATACAACTTCGTTGGTCAAGGATGCAGTTGTGAAGTCCTTATTGTAACACTGTTACCTGCTGTTTAAGGTGGGAAAACTTCCAAAAAGTGACCTTCATTAATTTGAGACCATTTGTAAGTTTCCTGTAGAAAACGACATAATACACCAATCCATATTAGATTGATATAGCATACAGTGATGCAGTATAATTTACTAGATGACGTTTGGAACATAAATTATTGCTCATCTTCAGCAGATGAGCTATGCTGTGTTACCGTGTCCTGTATCAAATCAACAATCTAATGTGGAGTTATATTGTGCCACAGGGTCTAAGTTTTTTCACTAACAATAACTCAATCCTTAGACCTGATAAACCACTGGTGTAGTTAGCCTCTTTCATACCTAAGTTAGTCATTTCGTTTTAGCTTTCATGGACTTCGGATAGTGATTCATCCATATGTAGTTTGTTTATTCAAGACATATGAAATGAATATATTTGAAATACAGGTTTTACAGAAATACCATGGAATTCTTTTAAAATTCCCATTATAATTAAAAAGGTAGTTTGATGAAGAAAGAATATTCTGTACAGTAACTACTTCGTCGTGCTCTGGAGTTATATATCCATATTGGTTCGCCAAAGAATATGTTTGTCAGTAACAGTAAGAAATTATTTGACTGTCAATCTTTAATACAGTTTGAAATAATGATTAACTCTTTGTTGAGATTTCACTGTTCTTAACACACATTTATTTTTTGACTAAACAATATGGATATAAAACTGCAGACCATGAAAAAAGGAGTTATTGGAAAAAATATTCTTTCTTCGTCAAATTATCTTTTGAATCTCATACAACTTGGAGAAATTAGGACACCACTAATTTGTGCTTAATGGAACTATCTTTTAACAGGAAAGAAGTTTACCAATGTGGCAGTTATCAAGAGTTGGCATATTGGTCTGTGAATTTTAATGACTTTGCTGTAAGTGAGGTTTGCATTATTTTAAATTGTTTTTTTCTTGTGGAAAATTATTAGGTGAATTCACAAGTTACTGCAATTTTCCAATTAATCATTTGCTAGGTAATCATCATCATCATGAATATCAACAGAGGACCAGGCATTACTGCGTGACGGTTCGAGTTGCTACAGCTCATATCACCACATCAAGTAAAAAGATTAGATTAGAAAATTCAGTCAAAAAAAATATAAAGTACGAAAGAAGAGAAAGGAAGAATGAGAAAATGGCGAGATTCGGTATAGCGTCCTTAAGGTCAAGATAATGTGTGTATACATCTGCACCATTGACATCGGTCCTGAACCATGTGATCACTTAGAGTCTCCAACCACGGGTTTCTCGTGTCCGGCGGACCCCAACCGACTAGTCTGCATCGCACCATTTTGTCATTCTTCCTTTCTTCCTTCTCATACTTGATATTTCTTCTGACTGCATTCTCTTATATTCATCCTTCACCTCACTACCTTTCTACTTGATGTACTGATATGAGGCGGGGCAACTCGGACCGTTACTCAGTAATACCTGGTCCTGTGTTGATATTCTGCATCGCCCCACATGGCTCAGACCAATGGTCAGAGACTTCATACATTGATGCCATGTTTTAGTCTGGCCACCTCGAACCTTTTCCCAGCCTGGACCTAATTCAGCCAACATTGTGTGATGAGGCAATCTGTATGGCAACTAAGCGTATGTAACATGTATACCAACCATCTCAGTCAATGAAGGTTCATAACGTCGTAAACTGATTTACCTCTTCTCCCTAAAACTCTACACCTGAATTCTATATTACTCAAGTGGTGACACCACGGAATGTGGCTTATACTTCAAAGGCACGGTGTTCAAACACTTGACGTAGACGATAAAACTTGTGTTTTAATATTGGGATCTTAATACTATTGATCATTCCGTCTTCCATACTGCTTCTAGTCTTTCTAATGTCATGTCTGTGGCTGTAGCAAATAACGTATAATCAATGGTTAGTCTTCCGTCTACATGATTTAATCTACATAATTACATGCAAACAATCATCCCTTGATTTGCTGTTTGAGTCTAGCCATCCAAAATTGATTCATATCGTTTTCTACCTAGTTAAGAAAATTCTAATAAGGTTTGGAATATGTAATGGGATTCTCTATTCACCCAAGCTATTTAAAAGCCACTGTTATTGATAAAAAATATCATTTGTACTAAGATTCATTTAGCCTAATATAATACTGTTTTCACTTTGAAATATGCAGTACATTTCTTGCCGTATACCTTCAATAATCATAGATTAAAATGTAGTTCCGTTTAGTGTGTATACACCCACTTCTCTGTTAGGTTCTTACACATATGAAGATTCTTGTAACATAAATCGAAAATAATCTAAACGTAATATATTCTTTCAGCAGATTCTCGTCAGGTTCTACAGTCACTAAAAGTAACTGCATAGCGTCAAAATAAGCTAAGTTTGAGGCGAATAGGTTTCCAAAATGGAATGTGAGATAGAAACTATACGGAAAGTGATTTTTCCTTTTAAATGCACCAGCTACTTATCAAGATGATGAAGAATATGATTGTAAAAGAAAAGATAGAAGTTGAGAAAGACAGTAGTAGCCTTCAGTTTGTTGAAAAACGAGGGAGAAATAACGCTTAAACATGTTCTATCATTATATATTATTATTATTTGTCCCTTGGGTTTCTAGTGTAAAATACGGCTTCAGCAGCACGTCTCCATTCCACTCTGTTCTCTGAGATCTTTTGAACCTGGTTCCATGACTGCCCACAAGCTCTCATTTCCTCCTCGTATGATCTCCTCCATGTCACCCTCAGCTGGGACGCCCAACTCGTCGCTTCCCATCGGGGTTCCACTCGAGTGCCTGGCGCGTGATGCCCCCAAATGGTCTTCTCAGTGCATGCCCAATCCATCTCCACTTCCTTCTGCATATTTGTTGCGTGATAGGTTCTTAGTTGGTTCGTTCCCGGAGTTCCTTGTTGTTTATTCTTTCTGGCCATCTAATCTTCGGTAACGGGCGTAGGCAGTTGTTGATGAATGTCTGTAGTTTGTTGGAAATCCCTTTCGTAACGCGCCAAGTTCCTGAACTATACACAGACACTGACTTGACGTTGGTGTTGAAAATCCGGATCTTGTTCACGCTTTATGCTGAGTGGAGTGGAGTAGATCTCCACACTGATTTCAGGCTAACGAATGCCTGTCTTGCTTTTCCGATGCTGGCTTTCACATCCTCATCTGTGCCTGTGCCACTTGTAGTTGAAACAGTGCTGCCTAGATAGGTGAAAGAGACTACTTCCTTTAAGTTTCTCCCGTTGATGATGATTGGAGCTTGTTGTTGTTGTTGTTGGTGGTGGTGGTGTTGGTTGGGTATCTTCGTCACCTCTGTCTTCTCTATATTCTACCTGAAGTCCCGTTTTCGCTGCCCTGCCTCTTCTGCCAACTTGTTAGTTTTCGCCTGTAGATCTTCAATTTTGTATGACATTAGACACAAGTCATCGCTGGCGAAATCCAGATCTTCTAGGTTCTTTTTCGTGGTCTAGAGTGTCGTCTTCCTCTCGCTTCTCGTGGTTGGCTGCATGATGCAGCCCACCACAATTAGGAATATCATGAGGATAGTAGGCAGCCTTGTCTTACTCCTGTCTTCACTTCAAAAGCATCACTAAGCTTCCCATCGTGAATCAGTTGGCATGTGGCGTCTTCATAAAGTTGTTGAACGAGAATAATAAAGGTTTGTGGTATTCCATAGTGTTGGAGCACTTGCAAAATTACTTCTCGGTAAAGGCTGTCAAAGGCCTTTTCAAAGTCGATGAAGTTGAGGTAGAGGGTTGACTGTCATTCTATGTTCTGTTCTATAATGATGCGAAGCGTAACGTTGCAATTTGGTCCGCATATGATTTGTACTTCCTGAATTCAGCCAGACTGTTTTGGTCGTAGTTTTGAATCCAGTGCATCCTTTAGTTTCTCCAGGATGGTGCGGCCTAATATTTTGCTTCGAGTGGACAGGAGCATGATTCCCCCTCAGTTCTTGCAAAGACTTAGGTCACCCTTCTTCGAGAGTTTGACATTGAACATATTCTGTCGTAATCCAAAGTTCAGGATTGATCAACCTTATTGCGACAGCCTCAGCTATGTTGAACAGGAGCTGGTAAGCTACGCGTGTTATCATTCTTGGCACACAATGTGTGACATGAGAAGCTCTGTTACCACCTGTATGATGCCTTTTTATTTACTAGACGGGCTAGAATGGAACTGGTTACCACTTTCAATTTACCTTTTCAAAAACCAATCCACTTAATGCTCCTGTATCCCGGCTATATGTAGATGAGTTCCGAATGGAACGAATCGCACTCCCCTGTTTTCACTGCTACCCAAAACCAAGAACATTATAATGTGATCTATATCTGTTTTCTTGTTAATTGTAGTCTTTTACGGCAAACTGAATGTGATATGGTTGGATCCAATACTAAAGCGGGCATACAAGACTCCTTTACACGTAATTTCAGGATTTTTGTTTTTCACTTCTTCGTTAGCACAAATGATACTGAGTGTTAGATCTACATTTAATCATGGCATTTTACTTCTTTTATACACTGTTTTACTTGTCTAGGCTAGTCTTGTACTTTTGTGGGACTTAATGGTGGTTAATAATTGGCATGTAATTGTTGCTGCTTATCAACAAGCTGTTAACAGGTAATTGCATGTTTGAGAAAATTTTTACCTATTTGTAGTATCAACAAGACTTGTTTTACTCAATAAGAAATGGGAGCATGCTATTCATGTCTGGAACTGTGAAGAAACAAGTTCATGTGTAGTAGTGTACATTTCTGTGAATCAACCTATCCAAATTCACAAAACACAACCTTTGAAATTTTCTGTTATCAGGTAAACAATTTTACTAATAAGATAGGACTGAGTACTAAAGATTACTTACTCCAAGTATACGATTTCAGATTTGGATACATTAAAATGATAAAAGATTGTAGAAAGTCTACATGTTTAACAAGTACACTGAATTACGAAAATAACTTGATCTTAAGTCACAAAAGAAATTTACTTGTACATACATGTGCAACTTGTTAATCAACACTTTATTCATTGAAATTCTAGAAATTATTGTAAGTATACTCTTTAATAGCATTTCGCATTGAATCGATACTGAATTATTTATACGTCAGGAAGCAGTAAAAAAAGTCTGCCTTACGTTCTGTCCCCTTCTTAATGGTTGGTCAGTTATATTTATTATTATTTATCAGTCCCTTGGGTTCCTAGTGTAAAATACGGCTTCAGCAGCACGTCTCCATTCCACTCTGTTCTCTGAGATCTTTTGAACCTGGTTCCATGACTGCCCACAAGCTCTCATTTCCTCCTCGTATGATCTCCTCCATGTCACCCTCAGCTGGGACGCCCAACTCGTCGCTTCCCATCGGGGTTCCACTCGAGTGCCTGGCGCGTGATGCCCCCAAATGGTCTTCTCAGTGCATGCCCAATCCATCTCCACTTCCTTCTGCATATTGTTGCGTGATAGGTTCTTAGTTGGTTCGTTCCCGGAGTTCCTTGTTGTTTATTCTTTCTGGCCATCTAATCTTCGGTAACGGGCGTAGGCAGTTGTTGATGAATGTCTGTAGTTTGTTGGAAATCCCTTTCGTAACGCGCCAAGTTCCTGAACTATACACAGACACTGACTTGACGTTGGTGTTGAAAATCCGGATCTTGTTCACGCTTTATGCTGAGTGGAGTGGAGTAGATCTCCACACTGATTTCAGGCTAACGAATGCCTGTCTTGCTTTTCCGATGCTGGCTTTCACATCCTCATCTGTGCCTGTGCCACTTGTAGTTGAAACGGTGCCTAGATAGGTGAAAGAGACTACTTCCTTTAAGTTTCTCCCGTGATGATGATTGGAGCTTGTTGTTGTTGTTGGTGGTGGTGGTGGTGTTGGTTGGGTATCTTCGTCACCTCTGTCTTCTCTATATTCTACCTGAAGTCCCGTTTTCGCTGCCCTGCCTCTTCTGCCAACTTGTTAGTTTTCGCCTGTAGATCTTCAATTTTGTATGACATTAGACACAAGTCATCGCTGGCGAAATCCAGATCTTCTAGGTTCTTTTCCGCGGTCCAGATTTTATCCTTAATTGGTAAAAAAATTTCCAGTGTACCTTATTTCAGTACTTTTGAGTCCACAGAACTGGAAGTGCACCAACAAAATTACAAAACTTTGTGAATCACCAGGATTGAATGGTTTATGGTATGTTAAGAATAGTGTCGAAATGACAATTAAACACTGAAACTAGACAATTGATGGGTTTTATTTCCAGCATAGGGCTAGCAACCCTACCCCGTAAAACAAATCTAACCGCTAAACAAACTTCAAAGCACAAACAAAATATAAAAAATGAAAACAAACTTATACCCGCTAGAATCGGAGAGGCGAAATGACGCCAGTTGGTGAAAGCCTTCGGGAAGCCAATTGGCCGATGTGTCCTCACCTCTCTCGATGAAAGCGAAAGTAAACGTGGGGACATGGAATGTCCGTACGATGTTCGAACCCAGTAAGGCAGCCCAGATTGCAAAAGAGATGAGAAGGTATCACATTGAAGTGCTTGGGATTTGCGAAAGCAGATGGAATGGGAGTGGACTCTCCAAACTGTCAACTGGAGAATCAATAATCTACTCCGAAATTGTCACCCAGACGACAACCACGAGCACACTGAGTTATGGAGTGGCTATCATGATGTCCTCAAGAGCATCGAAGGCTCTCATGCAGTGGAAACCAATCTCCTCCAGGATCATGACAGCAAGATTCAACTCAAAAGGAAGAAAGGTCACAATCATACAATGTTATGCACCTACAAATAATGCAGAGCAAGAGAAAAAGGAGGATTTCTACAGACAACTTCAATCAACACTGGACAAGACGTCAGTTGGCGATATCAAAATTCTAATGGGTGGGGTGACATGAATGCCAAACTGGGAGGGGACAACACGGGAAGAGAACTAACCATGGGTCGAGAGGCGCTAGGTGAAATGATGAATGAGAATGGAGAATTGTTTGCAGAATTCTGTGCATTCAACGATTTGGTGATTGGAGGCAGTGTGTTCAGGCACAAAGATATCCACAAAGCGACATGGATTTCACCAGATGGACACACTAAAAATCAAATTGACTTTATCTCAATCTCAAGAAAATGGAGACGCAGTCTACTTAACACAAGGTCAAGAAGAGGAGCAGATGTAGGTTCAGACCACTATCTAGTGCAAGGAACCTTCCAAATCAAGTTGAAAGCCTTCAAGGAAGCTGGTGATAGACCTCAATTCAAGTACAACACTCGGACAGAAACTGAAGGACGAAACTACAAAGGAGATCTTCACGGCAGCCAGTCATCAAGACAAAATGGGAGATATCGAGGAACATCCCTGAAGAAACCTGTGTGGAAGAACACTGGAAGTCTTTGAAACAGATGTAGAGAGGAACCTGCACAACAGTATTAGGAAGGAAGAAGGTGGAAGACAAGGAATGGATCTCGACGGACGGACACATGGAAGCTGATAGAGGAGAGGAGGATGGTGAAGCAGAAGATAAACCAGTGCAAGGATGCTCAACGACAAGAGGAACTGAGCACAATGTATAAAACACTGGACAAAGAAGTGAAGAAGAGTGCACGCAAAGACAAAAGACACTTCTACGAAACATTGGCAAGTGAAGCAGAACAGACTGCTGGTAGGAGAGATAGAGACCTGACGACATTGTATCAAATAACCAGGTTGCTATCAGGGAAGAGATCAGCACAGATGAAACCAATAGAAGATGAAGAAGGAAATTTAATTACGAAAGAAGAGAAACAAAGGAAACAATGGGCTGACCACTTGAAGAAGCTCTTGAATCGACCACCACCACCACCACCTGCACTTCGTCCAGAAATACCACCTGCAGCCGCTGAATTACAAGTGAACATAAATCCTCCAACAAAAATGGAAGTCCTGAACGCCATAAAGCTACTGAAATGTGGGAAAGCAGCAGGACCAGACGGGATACCGCCAGAAGCACTGAGAACAGATGCAGAGACAACAGCAGCGGACATACTGACACCACACCACTATTGCAGAAGGTGTGGAAGGAAGAGAAGGTACCTGGCCATTGATTGGAAGAAGGGTTACCTTTTCAAACTGCCAAAGAAGGGAGACCTCAGTGCTTGCAAGAACTGGCGCGGAATCACTCTCCTGTCCACCCAGAGCAAGTAAAATATTAAGCCGCATCATCCTGGAGAGGCTTAAAGATGCACTGGGCTCAAAACTGCGACCGTAACAGGCAGGCTTCAGGAAGTACAAATCATGTGCAGACCAAATTGCAACGCTTCGCATCATCATAGAACAGAGCATAGAATGGCAATCAGCTCTCTACCTCAACTTCAACGAAAAACCTTCGGAACTACTTTTCTGCTGAGATGGAAGAGCAGTGCCAACAGTTTCGTGCTCCCAAAACATCAACAGTGACGGACTGCCATTCAGACGATATCTCACTCTCCTCTACTCTTTTCATTTTTCATGTAATCAAGCCCAGGCAGAAGGATGAGCCATGATGTTAATACCAAACGTGAGACGTTTCCTTTACCAACCCTTTGTATGAAGTTTTCGAAAGCCTTGCTAAAGTTGAAAAGCACTACATCCAGAAGGAGTTCACTGTCCTTAGCTATAGCTTGACCTTCTCCTGCCAGGATTTGGTTCACCCAGCAACAGCACTCAACCCGAAAGTCATGTAGTGCCTGTGTAAGTAGACTATGTGTATTCACTACATGGGTCCTCCATCATGTACTCTTTCCCATCATTCTCTCCTCAAAAACAGTCCAATAAATGTCAACACATAGCTGAATACAGCACTCTATCAAACCATAGGTAGTTGTTCACGGGGTAAAGACATGTTCAACAACACGTCTAAGGTAAGTCAGGAATGTCGGCTAGAGGCAACAGAATTCTAGGACATGATCCATCGTGATAGGATGACTCTCTGGGCTTCAAGTTTCTGAGATGTCAGAGGACTGTCTTTTTCGTGATCTCAATAAGTTTCACAGAAGAAAACACTGCAAACACCAACACCGTGGGGAATAATTTCAGTATTGCCAAAAACTCGAGGTTTAAGTAGCTGTATAAAGTATTTGTTTTTAGCCAGGTCTGACTGCGACACAACTTTTGCTTTCCGGCCGCGTTTATCCTGCATTTCGAGTTGAAAGTGAGCGTTACGGGGTAGTAAACAACCGCAGTGCTGCTTTGTGACCATCAGGAAGTCATTTCACGCCACCTAAGCAGATCAGTTAGGGTAAGATACTTCATGTCCGTTTCTTCGTTATTCAGTCATTCACACTGGAGACACTTTTGGCATTCATAGTCCATGGGTTGTCGTCAGTTATGCTACATTTGCTGTGCCGGTTTTGTTAGCTTTCTCGTTGATTAACTGTTTTGCTGTTGCTCACGTTACGGTGGACAGGTCAGTTACAAAGATTTGCCAGTTGCTAGTCAAAACAAAAAACTAGTGGCAGAAGAAGAACCAGGATCAAAATTGGCCACAGGGGAGAGGGATCCTTAAGTGGTGGATTTGCGTCCAAGGAGGCTTCAGCGATGTATGATGCCGAAGCCTCTATGGGTGGGACGAAAACTTAGGGGGTCTTATCGTCATGTGTGCAAGTGCACGTAGTCTCGAAAACAAGTGAACCAAGTTTAAAAACAGAATAGGCATTGAAAATCCTGACATTCGTGCCTCAGAATCTTGTCTGTCTTCTGAGGTCACTGACAGTAAAATACATTTGCAAGGATTCTTTCTTTCTAAAGACTGAGAATACCTTGACTGTAAGAGCCGTAGAAGCGCTTTATACGAAAGTGTGACATGTGAAATGTTGTCCGCCGATCGAAATGCAAGACCCAGGATGTTAACCTGGTCTCAGTATGCTGAAGCGATGAATTCGAGGCAGAAGCCTCACTCATGACTAAGGTAACACATTGGACTGATTACCGTAGAGGCCTTGTAGGAGACTTCAGAACACCGTCAGTTGACTGGAACAGGCTAGTAACCGAATCACCACGTAGTTCGCTTGATCATAAATTAGTGAAACCATCGATCTCCCTGGCCATTGTAAAGCATATTAGGGCAGCAACTAGGTACGACCATCACATGCTCCACCAGTTCTGGGCTTGGTATTCCTTCGCGCTGATGAAGCATCACATCATTATTTATTGTTTGTCCTCTGGGTTCCTAGTGGAACATACGGCTTCAGCAGCATGTCACCAGTTCACTCTATTTTCTGAAGTCTCTCGAACCTGGCTGCCATGCTGCCCGGAAGTTTTCGTTTCTTCCTCATGCCATCACCTCCATTTCACCCTCAGACGCCAGACTCATCGTTTTCCATGCGGGTTCCACTAGATGGTCTGGCCTGGCGCACGACGTTTCGGAATGGTCTTCTTGATGTATGTCCGATGCAATCCATTTCCACCCACTTCCACATAGTTGCTGGGCGATGGGTTCTTCGTTGGCTCGATGCTAGCCACAGTTCCTTGTTGGTTGTCTTTTCCTTTTGGCCATCTGACGACGCATGCTTATTCCCGTAAAATCGATTATGCTGAGATTCACAGAAGATTCATAGCAGCCATCTTGCACTGGGCTGACGTCTTAGCTGGGGCCAAAGTATGGAAAGCAAATACGGCAGCCAATAGCCTGGCAGCCTGTTAGGAGGACTGTGTAGACAGTCCAGAAGCCTCAGTTGAAACTGCGTTGCCTTCCTTCAAACAGTTATGCGTGCCAGCGATCCAACTGTTCATACCGTAGACAGTCCCAGAAGGACAGCAACATTGTCCTCTCCGACTAAACCATGAAGTCTGAATCTTGCTGTGAAGCAAGAAAAGTTGTCAGAGTCTTGGCACCCACTTCCCAATGTTAGGAAGGACAAGAAAGAATGTATTCCTACTATCCATCGGTCTCAAATATTTTGTGAAATACGTCCTGCCCAGGCTGCACTACAACGCCCGAGGAGGTTATTTTCTTATGTGAACTATTAGAATAAAACGGATCGTGATACGGCCAGCCGAATAGAAGGGATGGAAACTGACTGTTTAATTGAGGGCGATGAGGAAACGGCAGAAATTATAGTTGGATATTTCAGTGATGTTTTACACAGAAACCTTCTATGGAAACTACTTCACAAATATGGGCGCTGAAATTCAACAGAATAAACTCCGTGGACGTCGAGCGCGATGATATATTTCAGACATTAAGTACTCTTGATGTAGAAAAGTCAGCGGGACTGGATGGGTCGCACCCAAGGCTGCTCAGGGAGCTCGCATTTTCTACAGCCGGCCTGCTAACTGTCACGTTTAGACTGCACTTCAGTGGAGGTAAGACCCTGTATGATTGGAAGGATGCCGCAGCCATACGAATCCAATAGACAGGTTCTAGACAGCACCCAGCAGAGAACAAACCAATAAGCCTTACTAGTACCGCAGTGAAAATCCTAGAAGGAGTTATCAAGAGGGCTGTTACGGTTTACTAAGAGAGGAACAGTATTGTCTTGTTCGCAGCGTGGCTTTAGCTGAAATTTTCCCTGCCTGACTAAGCTTCTCATAGTCTAAGGAAGTTGGGCTGAGTTTAACGATCACTATATGAATACGTTGTGTGGAAGTTCAATAATGAGTAGTCCTGACTCAGCGCTCAACTTCTCTCAGGACATCCGTAAAACTGTGGCCTAGATGTTTATAAGTCTAAGGATGATAGGGCGTCTGTAAATATCCTTTTTATAGACCTTAGTAAGGTGCTGACGAGGCATCCCACTTCAGGTTGCTCGACAAACGGGAAAGTTTCGGGATCACTGGATATCAGCTTTGGTGGATCGAAAAGTTCCGTGTTGGTGGGAGACAAAGAGCAGAGGTCGATCCTTAACTCCTCCACTGGAATTCGGTAGAGAGTGGAGTGCAGCAGGGCAGTCCTCGGTCCCCCACCATTTCCCCCATACATAAATGAGCCGCCCAATCTCCCAAAATCTCCTGTGGTTCTCTGTGCTGATGAAGAAACAGTTTGCTTGGAAATTGGGATGACGAGGTTGTACGCGCACTGCAGTCGACCAAAAAAGGTCGGTAATCTAGCCAGTGAAACGACAGATCCCTATCTAAGTAGGTATGTGTGTGAGCATGCACATGGGGCACACAGATGGGAACACCAAGGATATTGGTGGGACTCCTTTGCCCATACTACTTACCCACAACGACGTAGAAGTCACGGTAACTTATTGGTTGAGGAACACAGCACACTATCGGTTGGTCGCAGCCTGGCGTTTCGGGACGCTGGGCACTTCGTAAAACCTTCAGTGGAATAAGTGGTGATACGTTCACCATCCTATATACATCCTTAGTTAGGTTTAACTGAAAGACCTTACGTAGGCGGTAGATCCTTTGTGCGGATGTGACTCAGACCTTCTGGTAGCAGTTCAAAAGCAGCCACTCCTATGATCCCCTATGATGACTGGCCTGATCTACAAAGATCGACCTAAGGAGCTGGACCTCTTATCTTTATTCCTTGTCAGACAAAAAGGAGATCTAGCCATACTTCACAAGATTCTAACAAATGCATTTGAGCTTGATCTCTCGACCCTTTCCCTTCCCATTAGGTCGAGATACCGCAAACGATATGGCAGAAGAATTCTGAAACAAAGAACGGACATGGTGTCCGTACAGTGTTGGTTCTCGAATCGACTGGCCAACTCTTGGAACCGACCCTCCATAATACTTGATGCCAGCGCCATCAACTGACTACTTCAGAATAGGACTGGATAAGCACAGAGTTCCAATGGAAAAGGATTTACGTGGGCTTGGCCGTCTATTCTCAAGCGACAAATCTGAATCCTGGTGGTCAGTTCATAATCCCAAATGATTGCATCCACTCAACTTTAGCTGAAAATATGCGATCTACATTTGGGCAACACAGGAATTTAGGATTGTTACCATGCTGATATATTGTCTTTTCCTGAAGGTACTGCAAAGCAAGAGGTGGATCTGTCTCTGTCAGCGACCAACAGCCAAGTTTGCGTATGAACTGTCCACCGGAGTGCAGTGTTTCAAGCGAGGTGTTTTTGAAATATCGTAATCAAAACATCTTTAAGTTCCACATATAGCCGGCGGTACACAGATGCCTTCTTCTGGGGCTGTACTGCAGTTTCTGGCAGTTCACAAGATTCTGCTACTCAAATTATTGATGTGTTTAGTCTCTGATTCTGTCAGTCATTGAATCTTAGCTCCAGCACTAAGCCTAGAATATAACATCCTAGTTATCGGGCACGACTATTCCCTTACAGTTGATAAACCCTGGAAAGCTCTTCCTGCACAAGCAATCCAGGCTACTTCGTCTGAACCCTTTACACGATGGCTCAACACTTACGTTTGCAAAAGATAACTAGGCGGAAACCTCTTATATTCCTTCAACGGGCATTTGAACAGTTTGATCTAAACTGCATCAGCCACACAATCGTGTGGCATCCTCACCAACTACTGCTGTTGGTGGCTTATGTACCGCTAAAAATGGTCCGGATGTTTCAGTTGGTTGTTGATAGAATAGAAGAAGCTTCCACTTAACGGGTTACTGCATCTAAAATCCATGGATCACTTCTTTTGCTATTGTAAACCAATATACAAATAAAGATAGGGGCTAGACACGTTGAATCTGAAGACACATGCATTCCCTACTAAAATAAACTAATTCTTCTTGCTTTTGATCCCTCTGCCACCAGTATCCTTTGTTCTTCACCATGAAAACCATTGCTCAGTACTAAGGATGTAAGCAAGATCCAGGCGTACTTTTTGAATTGGAACGTTACTTAACATTGACCTACAAATTGTAGATATTGTTACATAGAAATCTCCCTTTCAGTACAAGTATTGTTCTCCATTTTCAGGTTCGATAAGCCTACACTATTGTTAAGACATCAAGCAGTTGTTCGTTATAAGTTTATCCACTACCAATAAACTACTTCAATATTTTCCGAGATATGAATAAGTACATCACCAGCCTTTATGTCTTCGGGCTGCTGCGTTGACCTTACCTGAAAGTTAGCGTTATATGACCCAACTTTTAAGAATCGAGTATTTTCCCTTGACTTCGAGAATCCTTAAATAACTTAAAGGCTCACCCAAGGTTGATGCTCCTTACCGCAATACCGCCACATGGACTTCATTTGGTCTCAAAGAAGTGTCTGTACTAGCTCAACGCCTAAACCAACAGCAGGGTCCTAATTTATTTGTGGGATATTTGTGAACTCGGGATCCTGAGTAGATGGACGATGACGAAAAGATCAGCTTGGAGCTCAGCTGCGTCAGTGTGGCTACTGGTCAGTCCGTTGGTACCTAGTAGTTGAGAGACTCCCGCTTTAGCCTACCGAAACAACGCAGCATAGCGGAACAGACTTCTCGGGTTAGAAACGAACATGTTTGTAAGCCTAACTTGGTGCCGTTGTCGATCGGCTCTTTTTTCGTAAACCCCAGTTCCTCCACCAGATTGAAGAATCGGACTTCAAGGGAAGCATCACTCCCACTAAACGTATGGTCCGCAAAGTTAACCTTCGGTAGGTTAAAGTTGACTAAAATGAGTATATTTGTGCCCCAGTCTAAGAGAGCAGCTGATTGCCGCTAGTAACTAATCATCACACTGTGCATCAGCAGATGGCTTCTTATAAGTGACTCCCACCAAGGACTTTGTAATCTTGGGCGGCTTTTATGGAGCATCAGATAGGCTCCTTGAGGCATTCCAATTATTGAATATGGATTTGATGAGCTGTAAGAGAAAGGCCAACGTAAAGTGCAACCAGCTTCCCTTTCGTTGCAAAACAGTGTGGTGTCAGCAAATGCTAGCTCCTAATCTGACATGTCAGGAGAAACCTATGTCTCAGTATTACCTATAAGATGAGCGTAAGTGTTCTTACTTAGTTTCATCGAGTTTATTCGGTAAACTTGGTGCATTTGTATAGATGCAATTAATGCTATCTACCTGGGACTCACTTCCTGAGTCTTCGTCATTCTCCATTTGGCTGGCTAGATCCTCAGGCGTAGGGGCTTGGGACTTACCTAAGTGCTGCTTACCAGTGTAGTGTGTTCGTAGCCCCTCCTATTTTTTGCATCCAAGCAGTCTTCCAGAGGTACAACCAGCTCCAACGTTTTCTGTTTCCGTTGCAGCCTCTCGTTCTCCGACCTATCAGGCTGCATGCGGACTCGAGGTGGCAGGTGATTTCTGTTCGCCCAGAATCCCTTCAGTGTGGATGCTGCCAATTGAGGCCGAAAAGACCACTTTGGTCAACCTTGGTCTGGAGTCATCATCTCTGTGTGTTATTATTTCCTTGAGGTTCGTAGTATTCTTAAGGGACTTCCACTCGCGAGAATCGTAGTGAATATCCTCAGCGCCTGGGTTTTCAGGTATGCCTTGTATTATTAGGTACCTTCCCCTAAAGTATGCCTCGTGATTGTTGCCCAAGAGTTTCTTTATGGCTATTCTCTAAGTGGGAAATCTGGTAGTATCCCTACTTCTCCTTCAGCTTTTAGCACATGAGATGCTAACAGCACATTCTCAACATCATCTTAGCTGGAGAATGTTAGCCTAAAGAGGTGGGACTTATTCTTAATTGTTGGATCCGGACAGCGTGAGAGCCTAGTTTCAGTTATTAGCCTACTATGGTCCTAATTAGGTTTTCTGCATGTTTTTTCCCACAGAATCCTATCGTTCTTATCCTGAAGGTTGTATAGAAGGTCAGGGCTATCTGTCAGATTCATGACAATCAAAGAATCATTCTAGACAGTAGTTTGTTTTATGTAATGTTGACGCTTGGACGATTTTGTTAAACTTTCGTTTTTTGTTCTGCTTTGGCCTTGTTTATGGGTAACTCACTTCCTTGTTTGACAAGCTTGTGAGTAACTCACGTGGTCTACTAGCTATTCGACTCCCTTGGAGACTTAGTTTTGGCCTTCCTCATTTCCATATTACCCTGTTCGAAACTGTCCCTGGCGCTTCCTACGTTCTTGGACCCTATGTATTTGACTGGAGTTGAAAATCGACCAAATCTGGAATTGATGTAAGGCCTCTTTATCCTGGCGAAACGAGAAATTTATGTAGTTCAAGTAAACTTAAGTGACGGGTAACTTCGAGGATGATTGGTCGGGTTGAGAGTACTGAGGCAAAAGTCATTCGTTACGTCAGCCTACAATGTCGTTGACGCTCCATAAACTTTTGATGAATTACGACGAAGATTACATTGTCGGTTACCTGCAGATAATTTGGATTGCTTGCGAGAAGTCTTTATTGCGAATGTGGTGTTGCAATGGATTGTGAAAGAGGTGACGACCCCTTTTCTCACTGTTAGAAAAAACTGATATCCGGATAAGTTCGCCAACATCAACTACATTGCTCCTAAAAAGAACTGATGACAGTGGGGCAGAAGCCTTTGTTTTTGCCCTTACAATTCAAGGGGAGTGTTGCAAGTGACATTCTATCACAACACCTAGCTAGAGCAGCCAATAAGACGTTTGATGCAGGTTGGCTTTGCATATCATTCAGTAGTCGCCCAATGCTCAGTCCGAGACTAGAGAATAGCCTGCCTAATCTTAGCTCTCCATCTTGCATATATCAATTTAACTGCTCCTGTGGACTAGTTACATGGGGCGCACGACTAAGCAGATGCGTCTCCGGATACGTTAGCATTTACCAGCTCGATTCGGAAGGGCGAAAGTGAAAGTGGTAAGTAGTTCAGTCCTAGCACATCTAGTCAACACAAGGCATCACATAAATGCTAATAAAGCTCTCAGTGTCATTCATCGTGTTCCCCAAAAGACAGGTGCCTCCCCAACGTCTGCTCAACATAGCGGAGGTTATCGCAATGAGATTGATCAAGCCTGAACTCTGCGTTCAGAAAGAACATGCCCAAGCGTTCCTTCTCCCTTGGCCTTCAGCAAACTAAAGGCCACTCCTGCCATCTTGTTCGTTATATTTTTGTTCACCACCATATCATTCTTCTGCATATGTATCACCCTAATATTGACTAATTTAAAAAAGATAGATCGATTACCTTACAATCCCTGAATCTCACTTCATCTTGAAAATGTACCTGTCTGTAACATGGCTTGTTTTTATGCTGTACAAATGCATCTAATAATTGCAGAACCTGGAAAGAAGTTATTGAAAAGAATATTCTTCGTTCATATTGTTGCTTTTTATAATGGATTACCTTATAACGATCATCTTCACGCCTTAGCAGCTTGATTTTAGAAAAGGGTATTCCTACAGTACTAATCTGGTAACTGTAGTAGATAGATGGACTAATATTGTCAACCATCGAGGTCGAATTGATGTTATTTATCTAGGCTTTGCTTGGGTAGTTGGTCATGTTGATCATGAGTGCCTTATTCCTCTTCTTGTTTCTATCAATATTCATATTTCAAATTTTAGTAACTCTATTGATTATTTACATCATTGTTTCCGAAACATCACCATGTGATTGGTAATTTGATTAGATTGTAAATTTATATATTAGTGTAGAGCCCAAGATGAAGACCTAATTGAAAAGGAATATTTTCTTCACTTAATCAGTCTTTTTCTAAATGTCTAAATGGGAATATTCAATGCAGTCGGCATAAGACTACTGCTTATTGACTGGTTGTCTTCATATCTGTGTAGCCGTTTATTCAGAATTCGTGTGATGTTCTCTGTGTCCGAAGAAAAGAATGTCTTAGTGATGCTTTCCAAGGTTCGCTACTAAGCCCTCTTCTTTTCTAATATATATAAACGACTTGCCTCAACAGATTACTTCTGATATTCTTTTTACCGATGAAGTGAGACCATTGAGAAAAATCGAAGGCTTAACTTCAAAACAGACCAGTCAATAATGAACTCACATTTAGTCCTGAGATATACAAGGTGTTACACGTAAAACATGGTGCGTGTCATGTATATAGCCTCAATGACATGGAACTTGAAGTGTCACTCATGAAGAAGAATTTGCGCGTTTTAGTACCTCAAGATTTAGAATCCTATGCCAGTTGTAACAGAAACTCATTTCGTGGAAACTTGAAGTTAGTGACCCTTAGCTGAATTTCCGGCCTCACTTGAAGTTCGAGTCTATCATCTGCCCCCGTTCGCTGCAGAAGAACAAGTTACGCTTAGAACGTATCCAAATGCTCTCGACCAAATCTTTTACTATACTTAGACCTAAGACGTATGAAGAACGACTAGTTGTGCTGGATCTATATCCCTTGGAATGTGGAAGACTAAGAGGAAACTCTATAATGGCTCAACATTCTGCGCACCCCTGGACACCCACTCCGTCACTTACTGAATCTTAACTATAGCACTAATCTTAAAGGACATATACAAAAACAGCTTGGAACATAGCACGTTAGATATGAGGCACAACTTCTATGCCAGCTGGCGTCACCCCAACCAGGAAGTCTGAATTTCCCTGCATGTGTCATACCATCAGAAATTTTGTGGACTAATGTCATTTTATAATCCAACCGCCTCTTAATTTTTTCCGGCCTAAACTTACTTTGGCTAGCATTGCATGTTAGAGCAGATAGTTACTTATCATACGTAATATGCCACAGCAGTTTGACTCAGTGAGGGTTCAAGCAACTTTACGGAGTGATTTACCTCTTATGGTCGAAACTCTACACCTGACTTCTGTTATTGCCATGATCACATAACTTCTGGTGTGAAGGCAACTGTAGTCGAACACCTGTAGCCCCTTTGTGTCTACTGTCCTTGATGGCCATGTTTCAAATCCATGTTATAAAATAGGGCGAACTGTATCGCAGTGCAATCGACTCTTAATAGGCAATCAGTTATTTTTACAGCTCCATAAGTGGTGTCAATAAAAGGAACCCAAGCTTTTTATCCGTAAAGGTTTCGTCGACCACTCATTGGGCTGCCCACTTAAGTGGTCAGTGCGACCAACCACTTCACTTCATATCGTACGACAAGGTACCAACGCAGAATAGTCCTGGTGCAATAGTTTGCGTTGGGAGGTCGGAAACATTCTTTAGTTGTTGGTCACTGTGTCTGGAAGACTGCACCTTGTTAGCATCTTCACGTAATAATATTGTAATCTGCTTGCTGTAAGTCCACTAAGGAGTTTTCATTATCACTCAATTCCTTTAAAGTTAGACGAGAGGAAGGCCTCTGTGTATGTATGACAAAATTAAACAAGAATGGACATTCTTGACTTACACCACTTGACGTGCACAACTCATCTGATAACCCATCATAGGCCCTGATACCCCCTCGAGTGTTTTAATACAGAGCGTTCAACAATATGGTCCATTCAACTGACATCTTACGGCGAGAGATACTGCTATAAGACTTATCGGTCGACAGAATCAAGTGATGCCTTCAAGTTAAGAAGTATTGCTAGTGTCGAGTGCCTGCGGAAAGTGAATATCTGATGGAGAGCTTCGAACAAATAGGAAATCTGCTTGAGTTTTTTGGACTTGCTGTCTCCTAGTTTCAGTTAAATATCTAAGGGCTGTAGAACCTAGAAATTTCGACATGTTTGTCATACACAAAACTGTATCGATACAAGCAGTCACACTTCACAACAGCAAGCAAAGAACATGTAAGTAAAGAAGATTGATATTAGATTAGACCAAATATAAAGAAAGGCAAAGAATTTGAAAAATGGTTTATGAAAAGTGCTAATACTTCTGATGAATCCAAAGAGTACGACTGTGGCATACTTCGAGCCACGTCACCAAGGGTTTCCAACCGTTAATTCCTGTTATCTTGAGGATTTCATCCAGGTAGTCTACACCGCCCTATGTGGCTTAACTCGATAGCTAAAGATTACACCGACTGGTTTTACACCTGATAATAGCCAGTCTGGGCCTTTCTTCAACGCTCTCCTGCTTCAGCTAACATTGGATGTCTATTTGGGCGGTAACTAGACATGCGAACTACTTTTCTCAGTTGATAAAAGTTCATAAAGTCCAGCGATTCCACCACATATATGGAAGCTATCTGGATGGTTGAGTATTATCATTAGCCGTGGCACAATTGGCATAACTCATAACGTAGTACATGAAAATACACATGCCGTGTAGTCAGAATCATCTTAGGCTGATTGAATTTTGAAAAAAACTGACTATCCAGTTATTCAGCAAGTTTGAATAGCATCATGTTCGAAATACTAAGATCCAAAGTCTTACGGTAGTTAACCGAAACTTAAGAACAACAAGCTCGAGAAAACTAGGCAATTTTAAGGTCTAGATGAGGGTACATTGATCAAATCTGCCTATAGAACACAGGTAGTCTACCGATGATCGATACTACATTTCTTGACCTGAAAGCAACATCCCACTCTACCAATTGGGAGATTTTTTGGCGGTGTCTAACTGTGGAGGGAGTACGTAGTAAGTGTGGAATGCTTATCAAAGTTCTCTGCTCGACCTCGTGCAACATATAAGTATTCATAAGAAGTCATCTGAATCATAAAATGTTGGGTTTATAAGTAGGCGTTTCGTGCGCAGTAGGATATCAACGTTTTGGTAATTTTCCATCGTCTTGATGATCGATTATTCCACTTTTTTCATATTGCAGTGAGACGCCAACTTTTCGTATTCACACGGAATTTGTTTCACCCAAATATTTCATACGGCCCCAATTCTGTCGGGTGATAAAATCTATCACTTCGATATAATGGTTGTTATAACTGGAATGTCGGTAGACGATGGTTGTGCAGGTGATAGTGTTGTAAGTTAAAAGACCTTTCTGGTATTTTTTCTCTCGACTTTTCGCCTCATCCATACATATATATAAGTTCTGTGTATAAAAAGTCCCCAAAGTTACTCAGATTATAAAAGCTCAGTGCACACAGCATCTGTAATTGTCGTCTACCTCAAAACAATATCAGCCGGTGAAGTCAAGTGATACCTCATGCTAAGTGACCAAGTAACCAGATGAAGATAATTAAAATATAGGAGTAAAACTTTGGCACTGTGATAGATTGTAAACTGACTAAAATGGAATAATTAAAATACCTAGCTGAAATTAATTACTTGTGTTGTTTTGTTGTAAAACTGTTATGATTCTGAATATGCCAGTCAGAAACCAAGTCAGGTATTCACTCTTTAGACTAATTGGTTGGTTTGCAACTAACAGTTACCAATAGTCTATTATTTGTTATGTAGCAGTAAATTTGAGCACTATGGTAGAGAATAATTCCATGTTAGGTTGTTTATTCGATATAGCACACAGTGATACAACATTACTTACTGGATGACATTTCGAGCAGAATTTATCATTTACATTCATATCAAAGTGAACATACGACTTTCAGACCTTCCTTATATGGTCCAAGAGTTCTCCAAACTCTTATTTTAATGGCAGTAGAATTTTCCAGATATCTGCAATATATGATGAGTAATTCCTGTACGTGTTAGATGCTGGTTGTTTCAATGAACAGAGATTCTGTGATCAATCTATCCCTCCACCTAGTTATATCGGATTTTAGAATTGTCACCCTATCCCCCTCTATAGTGTCATTATGGGTCAGTGCATGCAGGGTGACAGCCGAGTTTTTCTCTAAATTACTTATCTTGGTAGGGTCTACTATTGTATGTTCCGACAAATTTTTGTGTTTTGCTATTCTGAATGACCCAGATCAGCTGCTTTTACCTATATACTGTGTGCTATACCAATAAACAATGTAATATGAAATTGTACTTTACTGCAGTGTCCAATTTTAGCTTTTACATTTAAAGCTTTGATTACAAAAACTAGGCTCTTTCAGCGGCCACTTGCATGTTCATGAACTAGGCGATGAACCACAATGTTTGACGCTTAATGAAATCACCTGATAACCTTAATCTCTAGTAGGTGGAGCGGAGTTCGATCCTGCTACCTAGTTTTTTAAAGTAAATTATCCGGGCCATCTAGTTATAACTCCACTTGTTGATGCTTTACTTTTTATTTTTTTTGATTGACTATACTATACAATGTGTTACTTTTTTCTCGAAGAAATTGCAAATAACGTGGATTAATACTGAAGGTCTTATTGACGGTAGCTCGATCATGAAATTACGCAGATATCTGTTTTTCTGGATATCACTGGTTCATCTTTTGGATTTAAAAATATTTTGCCTCACGCTTTTAAACTCTGTAGGACAGGGAAAGGCGTATTGTGTTTAGAAGTTAACCTTCTCTAACTATTCTGAAAATGGAAAAACAATATCTCTGCAGATTCTATTTCACCTTCACGGCAACCTCATTAGTGTTCCATTGTGGTAAGGTAAGCAATATGACTTACACTTTGGATTTAAGATCGCCTACTTTCAGCTTCACTGCTTTCCTGCAGATTCTTTTGGCATGCTTGAAGGAACAGGCATACTAACCAATACAAGTTGGATAGAGAGACAAAACAAAGAAGCTCACTTAAATTAATGTGATTTCATCTTCCGGAAATGTTTATCTTATAATAAGAAGTTGAGCGAGACAAACAAACTTTATCAGAGAATGATAAGATAAACTGCTTATAAGGACACGGAATTATTTTAACCCAGAAACTGGTCTCTTAAATTAAAGATGACAAATTTTTCCATTTCAGAGTTCCACATCTTATCTTCCGGTAAGTTTTGTTTACTCCTTACTTATCACATGCCATACCAGTATACTTAGCATTCATTCTGTGTTCGATAGACAAAATTTCTCCAGTAGAATTTTCTTGTTTTTATTTTCTTCTGGAAATTCTAACGTATGTTTATCAGTAATGCAATGTTTTATCGGGGGAACGCTTCACCTTTTTAAATGTTGGTACTGTCCCTTATGGTAATGAAGGGTGAAAGGAACTGATCGACAAAGAAATAAAACGGAACTGAGGGTCCATTTAGTAGATTAATAAAAATTTACCTCTTCACAATGTTCAATTGTTTTCTGCTAGTTGGACACTGACAAATTTGAAAGAGGATATTCTTCACACTAAGAGAAACATACAAATCAACATAAAACCTGGGTCAGAACTACATCCATTCTCCTTGCCACGCCACCACAAGGATGCAGAAAACAAACAGGTAACACACTTTGATGTAGCATTATCTATTGGACGACGTTTCGAGCACAATTTATTGCTCATATTTATATTAAGGCAATCACACAACTTGTCTTAGCTGTTTGTGGTTCTACTACACTAAAACAACAGAAAGTGAGACAAAATGTAACAAAACTAGGAGAATCTATGAAGTGGCGAAGACATTATTAATTGTCAAAGCTCATAAGAGCAATCCAGTAGTAGTTAGGAATGATGATTACTTCATTAAAGTCAATGAGCACATCTGAATGCGTCCATATGATAGATTGATAATGTGAATAAAACTAAGATGTCTAAAACTGATGAAGTGAACTGAATGAATCTGTCTCTGAATGGTGCCTAAAATTAGTAATATTAGTAGAGTATATCCTGCTATTAAATTTCATAAACCATGCGACCGGCAGTTGAATTAAGAACACCGAAATATATGGGCATTTAGCTTCAATATGTATGCTCTGTAAGAATTCATGCAAACTCTAAACTGACTATTTCACATGATATGCAGCAAAATTCAGAAAGAATATAAAAATAATAATTCATTTTTATGCGACAGCTGTGCCGATTAAAATGGCTCTCGGAGCTGTTGGAAATGAACTTTGTAATGATCGTAAACTCAGTCAAAACTAAAGTACTGATTAAAGGCATCGTTTTAGGAGTTCAGTTTTTTCACCGCTCCATTTTTCAAATCTCAAGATGAAAAAAAATATAAACAAAAGAAAAAAGTAGCAATGGGATCACCAATATCTCCAGTTGTTGCAGATATTTTAACCGCTATTCTGAAAGTCATGACTCTTAAAACATTTAGTCCTACGGCAAAAGTATGGTCGATGACACATTTTATTATTATTATTTGTCCCTTGGGTTCCTAATGGAACATAGGGCTTCAGTAGCACGTCTCCAGTGCACTCTGTTCTCCGCAAACTTTTGAACCTGACTCCACGACAGCCCACAAGCTCTCATTTCTTTCTCACACGATTTCCTCCATGTCACCTCGGCTCAGACGTCCAACTCGTCGCTTCCCATGGGGATTCCACTCAAGAGCCTGGCCTGACGCGTGATGTCCCCAGTCGGCTTTCTCAGTATATGCCCAATCTATCTCCACTTCCTTCTGCATATTTGTTGAGCTATGTATTCTTGGTTGTTTCGTTGCCAGTTGTTGATGAATGTCTGTAGTTTGTTGGAAATGCCTTTCGTAACGCGCCAAGTCTCTGAAGTATATACATGCACTGACTCGACGTTGGTGTTGAAAATCTGGATCTTGTTCTTTATGCTTAGTGCCGACACGTTTACTGTCTTGAAATCCAAACACATCCATAAATTCTTCACATACGTGAACTCAGTGTAGATAAGATGCAATTGACTTTCGAGCTAGACGATAAACAAGGTGAATTAACTTAGTTTTAAAATAAAAGGAGAAGGTGGTGGTTTGGACACAAGTGTTCACGGAAAACTGCTGCATTCTGATTGAAATCTAGACCTTACATCAGTAAACGTAAGTTTAGTTAAATGCTTAGGTAATCAAACTAAGACTATCCAATAAGTCAAAAAAAATGAAACCCTTCAAAATTTATTCGAAAATGCAAAATAAAAAGTAATTATATGAGCAATGATTGCAACACGACTAAGAAGAAATTCAAGGCCCCTATAGTGTTGTTATATGAGGAAGGGACATCTGAAAGCCTACGTAGAATTCTCAATAAGGCTGGAATTAGGGTGGTGTTCAAACCTATAAATGCACTCAAAGACAAACTTGGTTTGCTTAGGGATTCTGTGGACCCAATAGACAAAACAAGTTGATCTCATAAATACCTTGAGATGACCGTAAGGCCGAATGCATAGGTTGAACTAGCTGATCAAAATCAATCAAGTTAGCAGACCTGACTATATAAGTTTAAATTGATAGGTCCTAGAGAAGAATTCAGTCATAGCTATGTATACACTAACACAAAAGTGGGTGCTACAGAGTAACTGTCCTAAAGATAATGTAGATAAGTGGAGAGAGGTCGATCATTGAATCTCTGTTCATCAATTGAGTGACTAATAAGTGTAATAGGAGTGAATCAACACCTCTATATATATGTCTAAACTGCCTCTAATCAAACCAAAGAATTGAAAGCAGTAGAACTATAAATAACTGAAGCATAAAGTCATGTGACTACTTGGATATGGATATAAATAATAAATCGTACTTAAATCTTCATCTAGTAAGTAATGCCGTATCACTAAGTTATATCAAACAGAAGTCGGTCGTGGGTCTAAACAGCGCTCTAACTACCGAGGTCTGTGCAGCCAGGTAGTATCAGTAATCTTCACACAGTATGTGTCACCCATTGCCTACTGCACAAATGTACCCAAACTTACTGAGTAGATTTCAATTTCAGACAGACTAGTCTAATATAGCATTACACTCTACTACAGTGCTTACACTAAAAAGTTCAGAAAAAGTGATATCAAAGTAGACGTAGGTGTACATGAGAAGAAACAATTTGAAACTCAATATTAGTAAAAAATCTTCATGCTTTCGATGATTTCAAAAAGTGAATACATCTGCACCATTGTGACCACTTTTCAGCCAAGTTTTTCCATTTATTGATTCGTTTCATTGTATAACCCTAGCCTCCCTATACCACTGACATCAACAGTCAAAGACTGGACTTCATTGTAGGTCGTACCTGAACGTGTGTCGCAGTCAGTAAAGGTTCGCAACACCTAATCCACGTAGGGAGATGTAGTCTGCCCGGCTGGGGTAATCGAGACGATAGAAATCAGTGGTTCGAGATCTTTGGTGACATGAATCAAAATCACTCATAGTGATGCAAATGTGTTTACTCTTTGACGTCTTCTAAAGGTTGAACTTTTTCACTAACCTTAGTTTTCAGATTCGTTCTCCACGATGGAGGTCGTACTATATCGTGAACTGACAGAAGTAGGAAGTATGGACCGTTGGATTTCGACCCAGTAGCTCAGTTGTAACGGGCTGGCTGCAGAACGTGAATGTCATGGGTTAGATTTCCGGCGAGGTCATGGGTGCGCACTGCTGAGAAGTGCTATGTTAGGACGAAACAGCTGTCCGGTGCTGCCAAGTTTCCAATGTTCTTTCAACTGGTGTCAGTCCATGATGAACTCCGACCTAGAATTACTAATTTTGTCTAATAAATGACTTCATCTTATTCCTAAACTGTTATCTTGATTTCACTAAACACTTACATCTTGGAACTACCATTAGATTCGTATTTCACGATTTATCATATAACAAGATATGTGTACACAGTCTTAATGAAAAACTAACTGTAAAGCAATATATCTTCAGTCAGTTTGTGTATTCATCAAGTGTATAGCATAGCTCGTTTGATTTATTTCCTTAAATTCTCACAAATGACATCAAACACAGAGACATTTGATCAAGTTGTTTTTGAGGTATAGATAGTCTGTTGAGATCGATCGATTTCCCACTGTTCTCTGAACCTACTCCCTGAAATTACTTAGCTAATCAGCATTGATAGAACACTGTACATGCCTCTCTGATTCAATCAATCGAATTATTATTACTATTATTAAACTCGAAACCTATTTCGGAGAAGCAGTTAGTAATTTGTAAATGATAAATCTTGGAGTAAAACCTCTTCAAATGTTTAATTCGAAGGATTACGATTCAGACGCATTCCTTTTTGTCATTAAACATTCGTTGTGCATGTATTTCAGAATAAAATTACTTTAAGTTTTCCACTCAGTTCTGTAAAAATTGATGTCAGGATCTGTTAGTTTCAGATTTATAGGATGACCTACTTCAGGTTATAGTGTTGCTTTTTCATGTTGCCGACTAAAATTGTCCAAACTTTCTCTAGTACTCATTTATTTCTTGTGTATTGCTTTTTATATTAACTACAGATGACTCAAGAACAGAAAGATTGGCTTATGGCTGCTATTGACTGTGATCAACCGAAAATGACAAGTTTGTTAAATCAGCATCCTGAATTAGCTGGATGGAAGGTAACCTTTTCTAGTTGACGCTTTTTCGCGATATCTAGAGCTTCGTAACTATCACCTAAATACATCGACCTTTAAGGACTCATATATTAGAAGAGCAAAATGCAGTTCAAAAGTACACAGCACATTCTTTAAAAAATACTTGTTACTCAGTACGATGTTCTGTGTACATAAAGCTAACTTGCAGGAGGAAAGTCAAGTCCAATCTTTCATATTTTTTACTCAACCAGGTACAAGCGACTTTCAATGAAGCAACTTTCTATAAATTTACTTACTAACACTTGTTCAAACAAAATATGTAGTAGATGAAAAAGTTGGACTTCAAGCTACAAATACAAGCTAGCACAGTATAAGTATTACTTGGATTTTGCCAACCGGTGTAAATGGCTTAAGAACGATGTCCGTTGTGCATTCCAGGATATATAAACCACACCCATATGAATTATTCCTTTTGGTGAAAGAGATGCCATAATCCAAAACTTATAATGCAGTTAAGTTTATGATACTTCAAAATTTAAACTCATTTTTCGAAGATAGGTGAAAATAGTTCTCCATTATTTCTCATGTCCGTTTTTGTAAAGAGATTTATGTGTATAAGGGGGGCAGACTTGCTGTAATCTAATAGCTTGACATGTGCATACGACAAGCATCCTTCATCTGGCACTAGAATCTAGTCATAGAATCAGCTTGATAGTCGCACTTCGTAGTTATAGATTTTCTGTAAAAGGATTAATAATTTCGTTCCTCATCAAACTAAGAATCATAGCTCATTACTTGTACGTGTTATTTTTTGGTTAGTTTCATAATCTGCTACCGTATTCAGTAAGATTTTTAGTGAATACTGACTTTTTGTTATGTTTTTCCAACTTTTCAGATTAACATTAATGGAGTAAGTGAATATAAAAATCTGTTTTCAATGATCACATTGGTAAATGGGTAACTCTCGAAGCTATGTAATAATCTAACACTTTTAAAAGCCCTTCTGCAATAACACTTACCTTTGGTATGAAAACACAGGCTGTCAAACTAAGTTGAAGACTGCACCCCGCACAAGAGCCGTCAGTAATTAGTGACGTTAAAGGCTACCCCAGCAACTATTATAGTAGCCAATTAGAATTCTGTATCTTATTAAGAAATTACCCCCCCCCCCCAGTCGAAATAAACAGGCCTGATCGGTTATTTCAGTTGTTGCTACGATGACCTTTAAAGTCGCTTGATTTTTTTATAGCTCTTTTACGCCTACTGTGATCCAAATATATCAACATCCTCACGAAACACGAGTGACGTTATAGGTCACCATACTAACTGCTGAAGAAACCAATCAAGTTTCGGTATTCCGGTTAGAAAAAGAGTTTTTCATCAAATAAAGAAAAGTAGTTGGTTATCTCAGCAGTTACTAGGGCGTTTTTAAAAGTCCACTCCAGAACGTATGATTAGCGTTTTAATAGTTGGTTTATTTTCATACTCTAATCATTCGAATAATTTAGTCGGTTGACCTATTTCTGCTTAGTATGCAGCTTCTTACTCAGGGGTGGGTATAAAAGAGGAGTGATTAAAAGAAGCAAAAGTAATGTTTTCTTCGTTGTAGTTTATTTAAAACCTCATGTTTCCAAAAAGGTATTCGTCAAAATGAAATCATCTTTTTTCACTGAACGAGAATGAGACTGATGGTTGTACAAAATTTGAATTTCTTGTAGTTAGTTAAGTGGCACTGTTTATTTAGCTGCAGTTTGTACGGATACCACTTTATCAACTGTTTGTTTCAATTGATCATTATGGTAATCACAGTTTGAATGATCGTCACTTCTATTTTTAATGATGTCATGGTGCATACATCATGCATAAGTTTCTATCGACACAGTAACAAATTTATTCGTTTAACTTTGAACTAAAAAACCGTATACTCGATTATTTCGATTGAAGATAAGTAAATATTATATTATCTGCTGATAATTTTTACTGTGTAATCGCTATCTCCAATACCGAAATGAAGTCAAAATCTGAGGGAATTTTTTCACCATTTTCATGTGGCTCATCTGGTTTACAGACAAGACTTGTTATTATTGTTGCTTGCATGTGACCATAGATCACAAGCTGAAATTCAAGCAGTACTGCTAAACTTCATACACCAATTAAAGTTTAAATCTCTGTACACGAATATATACACGGATGCATAACTATTATTGATTATAACCGTATGACAGCTTACCAGCATACTTAGTCTTCAAGCCTAGATTTTTTTGTTAGCATGACAACCGTAAATTATAAACTTGGTATTCTGAGTTTAGACTAGTAAGCCAGTCAGTGACCGTTATCTACTAGGAACTGAGGTGGAAATTATTATCAGAAACTTCCTCTTCAGGCTCTACATTTATGAGATCGTGAGGACAGGTGCAATAGAATAGACGATGAAAAGCATACAGTAGATTCACTTGTAAATGTGATCGCACTCCTTTTGGTAGATTCCAACGAACTCGATGCATGACATTATTCGATACCTACTATCTACTAAATATGCAAAACAGAGAAAAGCAAGGTAGAACCTCGCACAGTAGTGCATCGGTTCAAATCTCTACATTTCACAGTATTATGCAGAGAACAAGTCCATAGAAAACTGTAACATTGATGTAACCAAGTGTATAGAAAGCGAAAAAGTTGGAGGCTCAAGGTTGGTGAAAATTTTCAAGGTTTAAATGACATCAAAGGGTGAATACATCTGCACCATTATGACTGGTTTTCAGTCACAACACTAACGGTTTCCAACCGTTGATTAGTTGTGTTTCAAAGACACTAACCATGCTGTTTACACCCCCACACAATAATCAGAGAATTCACGAACCTACGCCACCACTTCGTTTGCTCATCCTGTACCTTCTCCCAACCCAATCCTATTTAGTCTGACACTGTATCAGAGTATTCAGTGACCTGGCATGCTCAATACGTGTCCAAACTACCTTTGTCAACTTTCACAATCTCATCGGTTAACTTGGCTTCCTGACCGAGTACCTTTCTCATAACCTCGATATCGCTCACACGCTGATGACATTATTTGTAAGAAGTGCTGCGATGATACCTTTGGTAAAGGACCTGTAGCGTTTTCATATCTTCTGATTCCAACACCTATGTCTCACAGATTTATAGCAAAACACATCACTGAATCGCAATACACTCGTCCTTTAACAGAGTCGGATATCTCTCCAGTTTGCGCCACTGATGACGCAAATTGGCAAATGCCAAATGGGCGTTGTGCATCTGAGCTGAAGTTTCGTCAGCAACCAAACTTTTCGGGTTGATGCAAATCTCCAAGTAAGTGAAGTGGCCGACGCATTCCACCACTTTGCTCCCTGTCCTTAAAATACGAGTAGTTGCAGAACAGTCCTGAAGCATCATCTTACGTTTGACAGATGCAAAAACATATGCTAAAGAAACGCATATATTTGTTCGAGAATTTCTGAAGACCCTGTATTTTGTCAGCGTCTTCGCTTAACAGGACAATATCGTCTGCCTACTCCAAATCAACTAGACTCCCTCCATGGAGTAAACCAACCCTGTGAAATCAGAGATACCTATTTCTATATCCGTGACCACATCAATAAAGGAGTAAAACAGAAACGGTGACTACTGGCATCCTTATGGTTGGGGGTTAATAGCCGTGGGTTACTGTCATTTTGTACGAAAACTCTCCATAAGCCATTACATGGCTGCATGAGTTCGAGTAAAAAAACTTTGCTTAAAATGAAGGATCTGCTCGGTACTCCCCTCACACTCAGACACTGCTACAAAATATCAGGGTCAAGGGAGTTATATGCCACCTTTAAGCCAAGAAGTATGCCGGTCGCCTGTAAGTATGCCAGTATTGCGAAACCTATTAAAGAGTGGAGATATTGTCGATGCATTTCCATATTGGTTTAAAACCTACCTGGTTTTCTCAAGCTCCAGTTGGGCGTCGAATAACTATGCACCCGACGATATTGGATACGATGTTAGTCAAACCAATTCCTCTATAGTTGTCACAAGAACACTTTTCTCCCTTATATACTGGAATGAACGGTGAAGTAGACCGGTCTAGCTGGACTTCCTCTTATTCCCATGCACTGCCTAGCACATGCATAAACTCTACTCTGTAATTTTCTACCTCCATCCTTGAAAACTTCTAGTTGTAAACATCAGATGCTGCTGCTTTTCATTGTCTCAGGTTTAAAACAGCTTTCTCAACTTAGAGAAGAGTTGCAGGACGGACATTTATGTTGCAATCAGCTTCGGGCTGGATGCTGGACAATTGAAGTGTTGCTATGTTAGTCGAAATGTACTTCACAGTATTCTACCCAACGTTCCAACCACCTGCGCTGAAACGTTATCAGGGCACCATCCTTTTCGGTGATGGTCTCACTGACCATCGTTCTCCGCTTGCCGGTATCCTTATCAGTCTAAATGATTGCTGTGTAGTAACTAATCCTAATGATTTCTCGATTTTCTTCACTACTCATGGTGATTGTGAAACCCATAGGTCAGATTACTTTTGAGCTGCTTTTTCTCCTCATAGTAGCCGTTGCTAGCTGAAATGAGTCTTCTTGCACCAATCAGTTGTGATGAGTTTGTTGAAACCCACTACCTTTGCTAACCTTTGTATTTAGGTTACCGCCGTTTCTACAGCAGATGGGATATTACGTCGGGCTTTATCAGAAAGATAATTGCTGCCATGTTCAACAAAATGCTTGGCTATCTGCTCCCTAAATGCCTACCTAACTTCCTCATGTTCCAGCAGAGCGCATGTAGGTCTTACTCCTGTGCAAATATACGCGTACCTGTACTTATGCGTTATCGCAGTTCGAGCAACTAATGCGGGAAGAGTGGCAATGCTCCAACCGATGATACATTGCAGTATGGTCTTTCCGTGTTCATTATTGGTTCAATGTCTAGCACCAAGTGGGACAATATCTCTGTTTATGCCTGAAATTAGAGCTAACCAGATATCAGGGATTGTCAAAACGACGTTGTTAAAGATGATCACTGTTGTCGGTTCGCTGGCATGGGATTCCGTAGATACTTCCACGATGCCGTTTTGGTTTTCTCAACTTTATTACTTGAGTGTTGAAATCTTCTGCTATTATGACTATATCTGAACATGTTGCCTTATGTAGCAAGATCAATTGTTTTTGATGGAACTCATGGTTTGTATCCTATGAACTGGAGTCAGTGGACGGACGGACAGAGACTGTGAATGAGTGTCAAGTGTCATGATCTTTCCCAGTCCTTAATAATCCGTTCAATCTGACTGGTATCTAGTGGAGAAGTACTCTGTACACTATAACTTAATGCTATACCTACACCAGCGAAAGCTAGCCGCTGAATGTTCTCACATTTCTAAGATGAATTTGGTGGCTTCACCGCATTTGCCAGGTGAGATCAAGTGAATAACCGCACTTGGGTCGAGTATTCATACCTCATTAGAAAACCAGTGTATATCCATATCTGGATATTCAAGCGTTATTGCAGTAGATACCTGCTGTCCGATTAAACATAGGGTTCGGACGTTAAGATAGACAGCGGGTTTTTAGGAGACTAGGAATAATGTTTAGCTGGCTTGGATCGCTAGTAGTAGTTGCAGAGCGAAAGTTTGACCAAGTTGTAAGAGACCTGGTGTATCAAAAGTGAAGACAAGAGAGTAGACTAAGGCAACAAGGTTAGGTTAAAGATTTTCAAACTAGGAATCAGCTAAGCTCACTTGATCCAACTTCTCGAAATAGTCCAAGTTGGCTCAAAGCGAAATCAGTGGATGGTACTCATGAATTCTGCGATTCGCGTCTGAGACACGAAAGTATCTCAACTCCTCAGCATTTCAAAGCATTAAAAGAATTGCGAAATAATCCTGATGTCATCATGCTTAAGCTTGACAAGGGATCAGGAGTTGTTATTATGAGTAAGTCTGATTATAAATGTAAGATGTTATCCCTCCTCAGCGAAGAAGGCAAATTTATGTCAGATAATCCCTCTTAGGAAATACATGAACTCGAAGGTGATGTGACTGCAGTACTATTATTATTGTTATTATTATTATTTGTCCCTTGAGTTCCTAATGGAACATAGGGCTTCCTTCGCACGTCTCCAATGCTCTCTGTTCCCTAAAATCTTTGAACGTGATTCCACAACATCCCACATGCTCTCATCCTCTCTTCTCATGATCTCCTCCATGTCACCCTCGGATGCCCAACTCGTCGCTTCCCATCGGGGTTCCACTCGAGAGCCTGGCCTGGCGCGTGATGTCCCCAGTCGGCCTTCTCAGTGTATGCCCAACCCACCTATCTCCACTTCCTTCTGCATATTTGTTGAGCGATAGGTTCTTGGTTGGTTCGTTCCCAGAGTTCCTTGTCGCTTATTCTTTCCAGCCATCTAATCTTCAGTAACGAGCCAGCGTAGGCAGTTGTTGATGAATGTCTGTAGTTTGTTGGAAATCCCTTTCGTAACGCGCCAAGTCTCTGAGCCATACAGAAGCACTGATTTGATGTTGGTGTTGAAAATCCGGATCTTGTTCCACATGCTGAGTGCAGAAGATCTCCACACTGGTTTCAGGCTAATGAAGGCCTGTCTTGCTTTTCCAATTCTGACTTTGACGTCCTCGTCCGTCCCGCCTGTAGTTGAAACAGTGCTGCCTAGATAGGTGAAGGAGACTATTTCCTTTAAGTTTCTCCCGTTGATGATGATTGGAGCTTGTTGTTGTTGTTGTTGGTGGTGGTGGTGTTGGTTGGGTATCTTCATCACCTCTGTCTTCTCTATATTCACTTGAAGTCCCGTTTTCGCTGCCCTGCTTCTTCTGTCAACTTGTTAGTTTTCGCCTGTAGATCTTCAAGTTTGTGTGACATCAGACACAAGTCATCGGCGAAATCCAAGTCTTCTAGGTTCTTTTCCCTGGTCCAGCGTATCCTCCTCTTCTCGCTCCCCACTGTTTGTTGCATAATCCAGCCCACTACAATCAGGAATATCATGGGTGATAGTAGGCAACCTTGTTTTACTCCTGTCTTCACTTCAAAAGCATCACTGAGCTTCCCATTGTGAATTACTTGGCATGTGGCATTTTCATATAGTTGTTGAATGAGACTGATAAAGGTTTGTGGTGTTCCGTGGTGTTGAAGCAACTGCCTGTCAAATAACTTCTCGGTCGACGCTGTCAAAGGCCTTTTCAAAATCGATGAAGTTGTGATAAGGTTGAGAGTTGACTGCCATTCTATACTCTGTTCTAGGATGATTCGTAGTGTAGCGTTGCAATTTAGTCGGCACATGATTCGTACTTCCTAAAGCCTGCCTGTTCCTCTCGTAGTTTTGAATCCAATGCATCTTTTAGTCTCTCCAAGATGATGCGGCTTAATATTTTGGTTGGGGTGGACGAGAGCGTGATTCGACGCCAGTTCTTGCAAACACTGAGGTTTCCCTTCTTCGGGAGTTTGACAAGGTAGCCCTTCTTCCAATCAGTTGGCAGATACCTTCCCTTCCTTCCACACCTTCTGCAATAGTGGTGTAGTGTGAGCATGTTCGCTGTTGTCTCTGCGTCTGCTCTCAGTACTTCTGGTTGGATTCCATCTGGTCCTGCTGCTTTCCCACATTTCAGTAGCTTTATGGCGTTCAGGACTTCGACTTTCGTCGCAGGATTTGTGTTCACATGAAGTTCTGTGACTATAGGTGGTATTTCTGGACGAAGTGCAGGTGGTGGTCGATTGAAGAGCTTCTTGAAGTGGTCGGCCCATTGTTTCCTTTGTTTCTCTTTTTAGATTTCCGTCATCATCTTTTATTGGTTTCATCTTTGTTGATCTCTTCCCAGATAGTAACTTGGTTATTTGATACAATGCTGTCAGGTCTTTCCCGCTTGCAGCCTGTTCTGATAGCATTGAGTTCAATTCTTCATACTATTTGTTGTGACCGTTTTCTTCTCTCTCGTTTTCGTTATCCCCTTATTATCTTTCTTAATTATAATTCTATTGGCTTAACTAAGGATTCTCAAGTTTTACATAAATTATTTGACAAATCCTCGTGTGGTCAGATTGTTCGAAATTATTTGGCGTTAATACGTCACATATTTCAGATAATCTCCGTTTTCTCATGACTTTGTTTCAATTGATCAACGGGACTACTTTTTGAATAAACTTTATTGTTTTATATGCAGAAATAACTGAAATACCTTTTTTATATCTTTTTTCTGCTTAAAATGGGCGTGAACTACGGATATTTGTAAATGGTTAACAGTATGTAAGTAATGTTTATGAATGCATTTAATTATTATGTTCAAGTTCATGTCAACTTCTGATGATGAGTTTGTTGGCGCAGAAATTAAAATTGAACATGAGACTTGTTGAGATAGTTTTTATTATTGAAAAACCACTTTCTGACTTATAACTAGTTATTGATTTTATGGTTTTTAAGGATAGTTTTGAATGGTAGAAAAACGGGATACTTTTATAAAGGAAATAAATTTGTAGAATCTCAGTGACTTAAGGAAATAAATGCCTAACGTTGCGCGACTTTTCTAAGCCGTTTACCTAGTACTCAGCTTCTTCAGTCCTGATAAGACAAATTTCGATTTTGAATTTTACCGGATAATATTTTCTTCCCCAGTGGTCATCCAGTGAAGAAGTAATTTGTCCCATTGTTGAACTTGGTTTTCACTGTATGATTGGAAATTTCATGGAATACTGCGCACAATAAATCTTTAGACTTTACTCATTAGACTGATGATTCTGCAACATTTTGAGACTATTCGTGTCCATGAAATACACTAGTAGTATACACATATCAACATTTTTGACCGTTGGACATGCAGGAGGCACATCTCATCAACAACTCAGTTGAGTAACTAATCCTTTTGCTTAAAATCCAGTACTTAGCATCAAGACTCAGTACGTGATATCTTCACTGAATGCAAATCATCTTCTGTAACCACCTATGGTCCAATATGTAATTGCTTTATGCCTCTTTTAGTACTTAAGCCTCAATTAATATAATAAGAAAGTGTCACTTAGGTTTTCCAAACATTGGTTTCTGTTGTCACGCAGACCCCAATCGAGACGTCTGCATTTCCCTACATGACTCAAACCCCAACAGTCAAAGATTTCATGCACTGATGCCGTGTTTTAACCTGGACGCCTTTGACGTTTTTCCAGACTAGACCTACTTAAGTTGGCATTGTGCGACGTGGCAGATGGTGATTATGCATATGTAACACATGTCCCAGCTACCTCAGTCGATAAACCTTTATTGCCTCAACAACTGACTTTCCTCTTCCTCCTCAAACTGTGCGTCTGATTTCTACGTTACTGCAGTTGATCATGATCATCCTGAATGAGATAATTCACTTACGCAAGTAAACAAAATGATTATTGTATCTATCTTCTTCGTTTCCGATAAACAGAATTCATCTACTTTTAGTTTTTTGATAGTAATGTTTCATTTTCACATTATTCACAGACTGCATTACATTATGCTGCTAAATATGGTGACTGTGCTATTATTCGACTGTTACTTGGGAACTATCAAGCTTCCGTAGATGCTCAAACTTATGTAAGTGCAAGTTTATACTTCGCTTTTTGTAATTAGGAATGTACAGCACGCCCTGCTGTTATTTAACTCAAAGAACAATACAAATAATTTCTTCTGAAAATCCATGGTATGTTTTCATTACGCGTTGACATTAACTAGAAAACAAGGTAGTGATATATAGCTCTGAACTTTTCGGCTGCACATGCCTGCAATATCAAGTGACATCGAACCATAGACTAATGTGTATCTTGACGAGCATGTCAGAATTCAGCAGTTATAATTTTTTAACTTCTGTTAATTCTTGACAAAGCACGACCAGTAATTAGTGATATCGATGGATATCTACTCCGATTTTCGACTTGATTGACCCTACAAATATCCACTTATTTGTTTCCAGTAGGATTTTCCTTATTCAGCCGATAAATAGTAATGATTTTCCTCTAAATACTAAAAATGAGAAAATATTGGAAGATGCTAATGACATTGAAAACGAATTAAGCTGTTTTTGAGTGTTTCTTCTAAGCTAAAATATTTGCTTATATTTCGATCATTTGACCAACCAATTCATGAATATGCAATTACTGGTTGAAATGTAATCACATCGGTACCCCTGTCTTTTTTGTTGAAAATGGCTGTTGCTATCGTTTTCAAAGTATGCAGTCGTTCAGTCAATGAACATTTCCTGTCAACTGTTGACACAAAGCATTTCGGAGAATTCGATCTAATTTATCGAAATTTTTCAGACATTCTCCTAGTATAACTGGAGGCATAAAATCTGATCGGTGTATGTGATAAATCAAGAATCTTATCTCAGTAGAGTAACGATGTATATCACATCAATCCGTGACTTCCAGTTTATATAATCAAATCGCTTTTCATCTGTTATATTTTCTATATTACTGGCTGTTAGCGAAAGAGTTGGAAAAGATATTTGCCATGCAGTTTGTTTGTCGCTTTTTCACTAAAGGCATTGCGCTTGAAGTGACTGTGAAAACATAGAATAGGTGATCAATAGATTTGTCACGCTTTTTCAGGCTAATAAAATTTAAAAAACTGAGAAATCTACTACTTTTTATCATAAACAGAAAGCAATTAAAAATATCCTCGATAGTCTGAAAGGTTAGATATACGTTTCTCTGTATTTTAAGCACTTCTTTGGTAATCGCTCATACTTCCTCCGAGAAGCAAATCTGGAGCTCTTTGTTGTGTCTACCTACATTAACTCTCAAGGTTATCCACTTGCATTCACAACGGAAAGAATTTTTCGTTTGAATCAAACCAACACTTTAAAAATCTTGAGGATTAATACCATCGCTAGCTTTCAGTCATTTGATTTTGTTTATTTTTATGGTTATAGTCATGCTTATATAACCCTAACTGTATGCTTTTCTTTTATTCTCTGTTGTATATTGTTGCTGACAAATCACAGGAGGTAAGCAGTCATTCATATTATAAATTTATATTTTTTCAGTTTAATTGATCATCTACAAAGTTAAACAACATTTCTTATGACATGTTGTTTGATACTTGTAATTTCCCGTTGCTATACACAGTCGAATTGCTCGACTTCTGCTGGCCAATGGGCTCCTATACGGATGCCTCTATACTGCCTAGATATTCATTATGTTGGAGTCTGTTCGATGGCAAACATTGGGATCCAGGATGCGCGTTTCATCCCATTTGGGACTCGTCAGGTGGATGTACCTGCACCCCAGTGAGTGGTGTTGCTCACACTGAGACTCGAACCCCAGTACTTATCGTTTCAAACACCAAAACGTTACTCACTGGAGCACGAGAGCCACCACCTGTGCAACATTTTACATTTGAAATCACTGTTTTGTGATGTTAAAAGAAATAAACGGCACTGATTAATTCTTAACCATGATTCACCATTATTTATTTGTTAGGGCTTGACTCCTTTACACTTGGCTGCTTTCAGTGGAAATGAAGATGTCATAGTATTACTAACTTCCATGTATAGTAAGTACATTTGCAATAGAACTGTTAACCTTTGTGTAAACCTCGTAATGTTTTCTTGAGTTCGTTTTGTAAATGCAGTAAGAATGTTGTTAATGAAAACTTCAAAACGGCTGTCACACATAATATGCGCAATATGAAAATCTTTAATACGTATAACATTGCTGTATCACTCGATATAAGAATATTTTCAACGAAATGAAAGGCAACTTTAAAGGCCACCCTAGCAACGATCGAAATGACCAATTAGGTTTCTTCATTTCGTCTGTAAAGGCAGATTCTCATAAAATAGAGAAGTTTGATTTCAGTTGTTGCTAGGGTAACCTTTAAAGTCATTTGAAATGAAAGATTCATGTCAAACTGATATACACTTCAAGTTTATTTTACTTCGATCATGAGTAATATAATCCACTGCATTCTTTTAACATGTTTTTTGGGGGTGCCTATATCCTTTAGATCCCATACTTAAAATTTATGTATATATGAACTGATATTGCCTGACCTTCATTATACTTGCGAGTTTGATACACATCATTCAGTCAATGCATTTTAATGTTTATCAACAAAAATGATCTGTAGGACGGATATCAGTAAAAAAAACTCTTACAAGATGCATCCCCTCATATCACCTTACCTCTTAAAAGTACAAAGGGAAAGGAAGAGAAAAAATAAACCAACCTGTAGAATATATATATCCATGCAATTCAAATCAGTATTAGATAACTTCCCAAAGTAATGACAACTTGATCTGGTCATGAAAAGAATAATTGACAGACAAAACAAAGTAGAATCTCGCGCAGAAGTGCATGAGTTCAAGTGGCCACACTTGACTGAAATCAAACTGAACAAAGGTGTGTGGGAGGAGAACGACTTTGTCCAAGCTTTAAAAGACCTAAAAGAGGGAATACATTTGCTTGACTATGAGCGATTTTGAACCAGGTCACCAAGGGTCTCCAATGATTGATTCTCATTGTTTTGGAGACTCCAGCCGGCTAGTCTGCACCTTTCTACACGACTGAGATCAACAGTCAACGACTTCGTGAACTTGTGCCACGCCTTTGTCTGGTCACTCTGAAGCTTAATTCAACTTAATCTAACTTTTCCTAGCGTTTCACATTGAGGGTTGGTACATGCATTTGAACTCAACTTAGCATCGAAGTAGTCTTTGATCCACCATACGCCGAACAACTGACTAGATTCAAGCTTATCAACTGACTCCCTTCTATTACTCAAAGATAAACACCAGACCTTAACATTGCCTCGACTGACTCATCAGATCAAAGTATTGCGGTACAATACCTATTACTGAGTTCTAAAATCTTTCCACAATACCTATCCTCAACGACCATATCGTGCCTGCTACAGCAAAATGATATCCAATAGACACATATAGTAGATACTATAGTTCCTCCTTTGTTATAGCTGTTATGAGTTATCATATGCCCTTTTTTTGCCGATGGATGGATGCAATCCCAGAGGTAAATCATGTTTCCTCATTCAAGAAATTCCTTTTTCTGCTTACATAGGATGCTGGCATATATTTATGCCATAGAATTGTTTCGAATTCAATACCTGCCGGATATTCACAGACTATATGTTTTTCATGTCTTTGAATTCGAAGCTGGCCATAAAGAAGGGCTTTCTAAGGCGTAATATTATTATTGATGTACTATTTTTTTCGTGCAGCCAGATCTTTTTACCTTCGCATTGGTCAACTACAGCGGCGTCTGTGTTGGTGCGCCATATTGTTTTCAGATAACCAGACAACTTATAAGAGAATCAGTAGTCTATGTGTCATTACAAAACTTGTTTTTTGCTTTTCCTTACTATTTTGTGACTAGAAATATATAAGGTGTTACTAACAACATGTCTAAAGTGTCCAATGTTTGCTTATTTAATTTAGAAAGACTACCATCTGACCGATGAAACTCCGGCGATTATTTTATTTGTTACTTTAAACGTCTTAGAGCCTGGCCTTCAGTTTCAAAGTTGAAGCGATTAATTGATCTTGCTGAAAAAGAAATTGGTACTCTTATCATAACAGCTATTTGTATCTATCGTTTGTTTTGGGAATGTTTGTGTTCAACAGTTTCTTCTTAAATTTAATGTTGATTTTGTTAACTATTTTATACCTTTTAGAAGCAAGAACTGATATACGAGACTATCGTGGACAGCTACCAGGCGCTTATCTACCCAAAGAGAAAGAAGCACTAGCAAGCAAGTTGATATTTTTGTAACCTTTGTTGTGTCATCACTGCTGACTAGCACTTTGATTTATGTGCAACTAAATAATTGAGAAAAGACAGCTTTACTAGTCTTGTTGCGCTTAACTATGAAATGCAATTATTTTTACAATGAACATTTATGTATTTCAAATGATTACGAAATTTTGAAGAGGGACAGTTACTTTTAAAAACCAAAACTGTCGAACAAACAACTTTACAGGAGCTTGGACAACTAATACATGAAGGGATTAACAAATGCAAGAAATCACCGTTAAAGTTGAAAAGAAAGGTGATGTGACAGTTATAAATCGTGTATATTACGTACAAATTAAAGAGCAAAAGCATTACGACATTACAGTAGGAAAATTCAGAGTCGAAGTACTCATGAGTGGGTTTTAAACTTTAGCAGTTTTGTGAAAGGGTAAGGGGAGTACGCTGGCTCTTTCATACGGTCTTGAAACTACTGTAGTTTACTGGTTACATCCTTAGTTAAGCCATTGGACGATTGTAGTTTCAATTTCTAAAGCAATTTAACTATATGCGAGGTGGGATATGCGCTTTGCCGGTGAACTTCTGTCAGCACAAAAACCAGTTTAAAAAAACTATGGATTCCTTAGTGAGAATAGAGGTAGCTAGTAACGTAAAACTATCATGAGTGAAACTCAACTTGTAAAACGAAAATACAATTGAGCAAACAGAATTTTTTATGATATGTTGTCATTTACTTAAGCTGTACAATTGTGTTTGAGTTAAAAAGAAATAACGGTCCATTAGTCGTGTCTGACTTCACAGAGATTGATCTGAGGGTTGACTTGGAGTTTGCGGACGATATTGTCCTGCTAGGTGAAGACGCTGACAAAACCTAGGGTCCTCTGAACCCTTTGAGCAGAAATATGAGTAAGTTTGGTATGCGTCTCCCACCTGTCAAGTGCAAGATGATGCTCCAGAACCGATCTGCAACCACTCCCAGTTTAGTGATAGGGAGTGGGAAGTGGTGGGATGTGTCGACCGCTTCACTTGGGAAATTCCATCAGCCCTAACGGACTGGTTGCTGACGGAATCTTGGTCACAGATGTCTTCGTAACATTGCTCGTCTTTGATGTAATCATCGTGTGAGCAATGTTGAGGTCAGAAAAAGAGTACTAGGTAAGACATGAAAGTTCGATTGATGAGATTGTGAAACTTCATCGGCTGTGTTGCGAATATCGATCCAGCGCCACCCACCTCCACGTTCTACACGAGGAGAAGCTGGATTACATTGGAAGAGGGTTGAGGGTGGCCAAAACAAGACGTGGTATAAGAAGATGGCAAACGATGAAGCTCAGAAGAATGTTTATTGTGATACTGTACATTATTGATAAAATATGGTAACCTTCCCATTGAAATATTCATTTGCACTATGTGTTTCGTTTCCTCTTCTACCTCCTTTTTGCTCTTCATGCACCCACGTTGTCCCTTACGTTTTTCTGTGCAGATTATTTACCCATCGCTCGTAATTGCGTATGACTTCTGCCCACCTCTCACTATATATACTACTTGTATCCATTCTTATCAATAGCAGTACCAGCCGATGAAGTCCCTGACTGTTGTTCCGCGTCATATGGAGAGATGTAGACTGCTTCTGTGAAGTTGTTAAGAAAATAGGACTTATTGGTTGAGAACTCTATGTGGCATGTCTGGAAATCGGTCACATTGGTGCAGATATACCCACCCCTTGATATCTCCTAAAGTTTGAATGTTTGCACTGACTGTTATTTTCAGATTGTTTATTCTTCCAGGCAACTTTGTCTTATTTGATATCACCTTTTGTATGCACCTGTTCTTTGTTTTCTGATGTGAAGTGTGGCAATCGATGCGCTTGTGTGTGATGTTCTACGTCGAGATTTTACCTGTCTGTCACCATGCGACCTAATTTATCAGTAATACTTTTACTTGCTCCCGACACCTATGGATAGATTAAACAGTCGTTGTAAATAACATCGTCGAATACAGAAATTTTTCCGCTGAATTGTCTTTAGTTTATTTGCATATTGGGACTTGCACATTTGATCCGTAAACATGTATTCCTTGCATAAACCATAGTTTTTACTAGATTTCTCTTTGACCTACTGATCAATAAAGTGTAACGTTTTGTATCATCACAGTGGTATCGTATCTAATTGTCGCTGTTCTGTTATGCTGTTATCAGAAGATAATGGTTTGTCCCTGATGTACTATCATCATTATTTTTTGTCCTTTGGGCACCTAGTGGAACATACGGCTTCAGTAGCACGTCACCATTTCACTCTCTTCTCTCCAGTATTTCTTTTAATCTGGCTACACGTCTGCCCACAAGCTTTCATTTCTTCCTCACACAATCTCCTCCATGTCACCCTCCGCTCAGACGCCCAACTCGTCGTTTCCCATGCAGCCTCCACTCGACGCCACAGCCTGGCGCGTGATGTCCTCAAACGATCTTCTCAGTATATCCTCAATCTAATCCATCTCCACTTTCTTCTACATATTTACTGGGTGTGATGGGTTCTTTGATGGCTCGTTGCCAGACAGTCAGAGTTCCTTGCTGATTATTCTTATTATTCTGACAATCCATCTGATCTATCTTCAGTGTCAGTGCCGAGTGAGGGAGCGTAGGCGGCAGCTGTTGATCATGTATGTATGCAGTTTGTTGGAAATGCTTTCGTAACGCACCACATGTCTCAACTATCACATAGAAGCACTGCCTTACTTGACTGAAAAATCCGGATACTGTTCACGCTTTATGCTGAGTGGAGTGGAGTAGATCTCCACACTGATTTCAGTTTAATGAAGGCTCTTTTTGCTTTTCCGATGCTGGCTTTCACATCCTCATCTGTGCCTGTGCCGCCTGTAGTTGAAACGATGCTGCCTCGCCTAGGTAGGTGAAAGAGACTACTACCTTTAGGTTTCTCCCGTTCATGGTGATTGGTGTTTGTTTTTGGTTGGGTATTTTCATCACCTCTCTCTTCTCTGCATTCACTTGAAGTCCGGTCTTCGCTGCCTCCGCTGCCAACTTGTTCGTTTTCGCCTGTAGATCTTTCAGGTAGTGCGACAAGACATTAGACAAAGCCATCATTGGCGGCGAAATCCAAATCTTCTGGGATATTTTCATCGGTCCAGCCAGTGTATGCCCATCTTCTCACAGTCGTCTGTTGCATGGTACAGTCCAGTCGACTACAGTCAGGAAGATGATCGGTGACAGAAGGCAGCTGCAGCCTTGTCCTACTCCTGTCTCTTGTCTTCACTTCAAAGGCATCACTGAGCTTTCCGTTGTGGATCACTCGGCATGTAGCATCATGTGGCATATAGCTGCTGTTGAATGAGGTTGGTACAAAAATCGTAGTGTTGAAGCAGCTGCCTGCCAAATTACTTCTCATTCGACCCTATCAAACGCCTTTTCAAAGTCTATGGAGTTGAGGTTGAGTTGACTGCCATTCTATGCTCTGTGTACCATAGCTTAGCGTTGGAATTTGATCCACACATGATTTGTTCTTCCTGAATTCGGCTAGCCTGTTCCAGTTGTAATTTTGAATCCAGAACACTCCTAGTCTCTCCAGGATGATGCGGTTTAATACTTTGCTTGGAGTGGAGCATGATTCGGCATCAGTTCTTGCAAAGAATTAGGTCTCCCTTCTTTGAGAGTTTGACAAGGTAGTCCTTTTTCCAATCGGCAGGCAGGTATCTTTCCTTCCTTCCTTTCTTGCAAAGCTTCTGCAATAGTAGTGTGAGCATGTTCGCTGTTTTCTCTGCGTCTGTTTTCAGTCTTTTTGGAGGAATTCTATCTGGTCCTGCTGCTTTCCTGACTGTTCCTGATGTATGCTTGTTAACGTTTTGATGCATAAATATCACCAAATATTTTTCTAAAATCATAAGTACTTGGTGTATGCTTCACTTCCTATCTACCACTAATTAGTTACAAATTATGCCCCTAACACCATCGGTTTCTTTCCTTTTGGTCATATCAATTTCTTTACTGTCGATGTAAATATTTTAGCTGAGTAACTCATCAGTGTTACTCCAGATCTTCGATCAATCGGCTACACTAATTCTGATGGTTTAAGCTAGTACTATATGAAGAAGTGTACAAAAATGTAAGCTCGATTCGATCATTATCTAACTTTCACTTGTGGTTTATTATTTCCAATTTTTCGCACATCTATATTGTTATGGTGTAGACAAACACAGTTCAGTTGTTGTAAGTTGATTCAGATCTATGTATGCATGAACGAAATGTTTTCAGCTTAATTTTTCTTTGAAACGTATTTTATTATACAATTGCATAAACCTTTACAACATTCGGTATCTACTTCCAGTTTCTCCCACAAATGATCAGTTAACTCATGGATAAACAGATTGTTAGAAAAGGGAATGCTTTCACCTTATTTCTTCTATAAACTTTCTAAAACAACCCAAAGCAATGCAACCGAGCGATATGGCATAGGCTAACACGTTTATGAATCACAGTTACTGTATAAGGATTAACGATCCTACCCAGTTACCCAGGCTGAATTGAGTAAAATAAATTTAAAACCAGACCTTCATCCTCTGAGGCTCAATCGATCAACTAGTTTTTTCTGCTTTCTGTTCAAACTTGGTGTCGTCATGTTAACATCATCATCGTCTTTCTTGACTATAAAAGTAGTCCGATACAGTCGTCCGGAAACGGACAGAATTAGTCCAGTCATCGAACAGAATGATACACGGAAAAAAGCAGATCAGTGCAGAGATTCTGGCTGATGCTGTCATCAGTATGTTGTATGAGGTAGTTCTATTTAAAACATTCTAGCCGAAATATCAAAGAAATTGTTTTTGGCCTTCAGTAAGCTTTTTTCAACTCACTGGTGGTGTACAGTTCTAAGCCTGAGTTGAGAATATTAAGAATTCATGCTACTTAGTCGATTCACGGCATATAAAATAAGCTTCATTGGTGTTATTATATTGTTGCATGGTTGCCTTGCTCTATTGACACCGGGTTCAGTCTTCAGTAGTATCGATTTTGTATCATGCATGTACTTGGATGTTTACTTTGTGTTTGTTGTACTTTTTACATGACACTACATAGTTTGGTATTATGTTACTTTATTTCCTATTATGTTTTTAGAGTACTTTCCGAACCCTCTACGTACACTACTGCAAAATCGTAATAATTGTGAGTGTGAAAGAATGTTGTCTATTTGTTGAATTATTTTATCCCTTCCCTGCCATGTTTATCGTATCTGTTGAACCAACATCTGCTGTCTGTGGTTAATTTCTGGATGAGTTTCACAGCAACACAGTTGTGAGGTGTATATAAATGTTTTGACAGCTAGCATTCCTGCCGAAGAGTTTTAAAATATTCAAATCTAATGTAATTATCGTTATTGTCGAAATAACGCTATATGATTAACATTCTCTTAAGAGTGATGTTCGCACACTCTTAAGAAATTGTTTCTATGTACTAAACATAAGTTGGTGTACTACCAAAATTTTTAAAGGTATATGTAGAAAAATAAACCTAAGAACAAAACACTAAACAACAAGTTATATATATAAAATTTTTGGAGGGATACTTAGGTCTATTGAAGCTCTAGCCTTGAAAAAGGCTTAGACCTATTTATCGCATTCACAAACAGTTGGTTCTTACACTAAGTTTCTCTTAGGAATACCGACGGTGATAAACTTACTGTCGTTCCGAACTAGCAGTCTGACTCTTTATTATCATGCACACTTATTATATTTAGATGCGATTGCACAGCTAATAAGTATGACATCGTCGAAAACAAATTTATTTGCTGGTGTCTTAATGCGATGACGTAGGATTGGGTTTGAAGAACGGTCAGGATGGCCAGAACAAAACGCGCCACCAGTCCACGAAGTCTCATTGTTGGTCTGTATCGTGTAGACTACATAGCCAGGTTTGTCGAGATAGTTAGAACCAATGGTTAGTGACCATTGGTGAAATAACCGAAAATCGGTCACGGTGGTGCAGGTGTATTCGCTATTTTGCATCCTCGGAATTTTCATTGACATTCACTTCCCAAGTCTTTTCGCCTCTAGTACACTTTTGTCTTTTTCAAAATTACATTTCCTATGCAATTGTTGTTCGTGTGATGCAATAAAGCGTGGCAACTTGAACGAATGCACTTGTGTGCGAGACCTTACATTTCTTGTCTAGTTGTCTTCATTTCGTAAGCACATGTCTTGGATTTTCCGCAATATAGTGTTAAACAATGTGTTTGTGAAACAAAGGAAGTGTAGTGAAGAGTCACTCTTTTAAGCGTTTGGAAAGCGAAGGCTGCTTAGCCTGAACTCTAGATTCAGAAGAATTTTGTTCATTCGAGTTGCAATGGACATAACCTATGAAAACATTCCACCCTCTGTATCGTTCTTTTCACCAGCCAAGTAATATTTTATGTCTTCTCACACATCATATTCTTTCATCCTTAAAATTCTGATTTCTCATTATGTTCATCAATTCTTTTAACCATATCATATTATGCAACTTGGTAACTTAATATTGCTTCGATTTTACTGTCTTCTTCTCACTACTATTTTAAACGTTATTGAATTCTTTTTTCCGATCTCCCAACTTATAATCGTAACTGAATTTTTTTTCAAAAATACTTTATGACACCCTTTTTCCGTTGCCGTTTGAATATATTATTTATGTACTAACTGACAGCTTGAGAATTATATCGCTTAAAAGGGTGACTCTTCGCTACACGTCCTTCGTTTTATGGCTAAATTGGGAAACGCTGCTAGGACCTCATGACGATAAAGGAGTTGAATCGATTTCTCTGTTTTTCCTTTAGGTTTGCCATAGCAAAGACAAAAATTCGTTCATTCAGAGACTCCCTGGGTCAGCATGAATATCCTAGGCTGTATTGGGAAGCACCTATAGGCGACCACATTCAGCCAAACTGGAAGATTCTTAAGCCTCACCAGCTGAGCCACGTATGCGAGTTTAAATCATGTATTGCTCCATCTTGAACGAAATCTACATTTTAGAATGCATGCTGTTCACAGTTTGCAAGCAAACTTACACCAACCTTTCGAAGATTATGTCATATTAACTAAGAAACACTGGAAACAGATCAGAAGAATGAGAAACATCAGGTAGATTATCCTCTCTGATGAGATGAGGTTCCGAAAACACAAACATGAGAAGAATAAGACTTGGTAAACTGAAAAGCAATTAACCGATATTCGTTATGTATGCATTTATGACAACTCATCAACACAAAACGTACCCTTTCATCATTATTATTGCTTTTCATCAGACTTCAGCGTTAATTGGCATCACTTGAACTAATTGATTGGTAACTACATTTATTTCAGATTTGTACTTACTAGTAAATCAACCGGAAACAAATCAAAGCCACCCCAATTCAGTCCCATACGAAAATAGTAGTAAGGATGAATGCAGTGAATCCGAGTCGATTTTTAGTCTAACGCCTTCATCTCTTTTACCGATCGCTGCTCAATTCCCTTGGAATCAAGCAAGTCAAAATCATATTGAAGAATCACATCAGAAATCCTCATTTAGTCGAAGTGTGGGTTCCATCCATCAGGTAGGATCTGATACAGCTAAGGATAGATATAAAATGAACAAATACTCAGCTCCCGGTTTACCCAGTAGAATGGGTTGTACACCAGTAGACTTGAAGGGTTTGAACATGAACTTAAAAGGTCCTTCGCTGAAGCTTAGATGTGACTCCAATTTTAACTACAGTGATGTCGACCTAATCCAAAACATCTACACACATATTCGTCAAAAGCATGAACTACCACGGCCTTACAATCCACTGAATCCAGAAAGTACTAAAGCGTCGGACGCAAGTGTAAGTTTTGAAAACTATTTTTGCCGAAATAAGTTATCCTTCTTGAACCTTTACTAAGTGGTTTCTACTGTACGATTGTTCTGTAATGTTTGACCAAAATTTACTAATTTTGTGATAATAAAACTATTTTGTAACTGCTTTTGCGAATTTAGAAACAATGGAAGAAAAAAATATTGACTACACCTGTTTGACGAGTCTACGGCTATATTCATATTGTTTCGTAAAAAACGACTACAATACCAAGTTCTAATTGAAGTAAAACCCAAATACTTGACGGCCAACAGGAGATGAAACAAGCTGTCACTCAGACAGTCTAAATGATAATCAGTATGATGTTCCCCCTCCCTAGTTCGCTCAGATTTGAATTGAAGTGAGAAACCCTGAGTGGGCAGTCAGTATGAGTACGAAAAAGCGGTAGTAACGCGTCACGAATTCACATGGCAGTCGGGCGAAAACTTTGGTGATTCAAGTGAGACAAAAGTCTGGTCCACAATCGGGTCTTGTAGCAGGGTCTCGTGACAGAAGTTGGAAATATAGACCGTTGAATTCCCACCTAGTGGCTCAATGGTAACATGCTGGCCACGGAACCTGAAGGTCACGGGTTGGACCCTGGCAGGGTTATGGGTGCGCGCTCCTGAAGAGTCCCATACCAGGACGAAACAACTGTCCAGTGCTACCAGGTTTCCAATGTTCCTCCAACTGATGTCAGTCCATGATAAATACCAACTCGTAGCTCAGTGGTAGGACACCAGGCCGGAAACGCGGCGGTCGCTGGTTCGAATACCGTGCTGGCCCAAATTTCATTTCACCTTCGATCATCACCCACCATCAGAATTTCACTGCGTTAGGATGCATCTAATGAAGCTTCTTTTAGAGGATAGGAGATACTCCTCACTAAGTAACCAAGGGAAGACTTAATTCGTCAAAAAAAGTTCTCTTTCAACGATGTCAATCTCCAAAGCTGTACACTTGTATTTACATATTCCACGGGCATATAACCTATTATTGAATAATAGAGTATGGCTTTACCAAAGAATAGTTTTCAAGACTTAAATAGAGACTCAAAGGAGTTGTATCATAACTTACATCTAACGAGACAAATAAGCTATTAAACATGGTAAAATTTTTAGGTGGATATGAAATGCAACGTTTGAGTTCCCAATTAACAGATCTAAAAAAGAAATGAGTCAAATCAGATTGCTAGTAGTAAACTGGCCAATTATAGAGATTGAAGGAAAACCTGAGAAAGGTTAAAACCATGATAAGAAACTGAACATACTTCTGCTCACTGAAATCAGGTTTGAATCGATCATGAAAATCCGAAAGTCCACTCTTTCTGAACTGTTCCCTTCCACTTTGTAGATAAAATGGAGAAAAAAATGTAAACTTATGATCAAGTGTTTGGTTGGTTAATTTGTCCCATTTATTTCCTTACATGCAAGTAAGCGGTACAGATCACCTATAGGCTCTAATCTAAGTGCATCTATCTTGCATCCCCATTATTGCTTTCCTAGTCGTTTTAGTTACTTCTGGTAATAGATATGTAAACCTAAAAATCGATAGCTGTCATGACGTAACAGTTGCGCTTACATGTTACAGTGATCCAATGAACCACACTCCCTGGAAAACTGATTTCTTTGGGGTCCTGCTATACCAGAAAGTTCTGTTAAATAGTGGCGAGACAAAAGTTACCATTGTAGTGTAAATGACTAACCTGAGACGGGGATCCGACGGTGAAGTCGTACTGCTTGAGGCATACACAGAAATCAGGTGCAATTATTCACAACCTACCCAGTCGATGTTGTTTAATTTGGATAATCCAGCCTTCGATTCCCCGTAGGTTCGATGGTTGGTTCTCGTGGCCTTGTGGGCGCAGGTATATAGCACCAAGTGCTAAAGCAGAAAGTGCACTTATCGACTGGATCCCAGTTGAATGTCACCTGTGAACTGTTTGAATGAATGGTGCAGTGAGGGTTGCAAAGAATAGACAGTTGTCTCTTTATAGTAACTCCTTAAGTACCCACTGACTGTGGTTCGGATAGAGTGAGGAGGACTGCCTAGCGTCCTGATGAAAGTCAAGTGTGGCTATCGTTGCAAGGGATTTCAGTGCATGAGTTGTAGGTCAAGCCAGATATAAAGTACTTAAGTGGCATTCTCGAGATCCAACCTGAACGAACAGACAACAGCCATTACCCGATAAACTGTGTCTTGACGAACGTCCATTTCTGGCCAGCACGAACCTCAGACATAAAAGAGACTGATGTATCATCCACCAGCCTCATCTCGGTGGTGGGCACAGATAGACCATATTGCGACCAGTTATCGCTAGAAAGGGTCAGTGGTCCATTGCAGCTCCTTCTAAGGTATGTTTTTGGATGGTGATAAGAAGCACAAATGATAAGTATCGGAAACTAAGAAAATGAGAAGCTTCGAACCTAGTCGTGGTGTGTCAATCAGATATGCACCTTACGCCAGGTTCTGAAACAAACCACAAACATTTGACATACTTCCTAATCTGAAGGCGGTATTCGTCTCCGTTGACCGGTAGGTGTTGAAGCAATGTCTGACTATGACAGTTCTAGGCAAATGCGTAGCGCCAATCAAAACGCTACCCGAACTCGTGCAGCTGTGTAGGGAGCTGTCAACTGAAATGATAACAACCAGCGGTGTCCGCCAGGGATGCTGTCACCGTTCCTCTTTGACTTCGTTATAGTTGTATTACTGTACACAATCTTAAGTTCCTCCGACTTTGCATCGAGAGAACCCGTGCAAAGCATGGGTTAAATTATTCCTCACAATAGTATCAGTTTAGTCGCACTACTTACGACTTCTGATTTTTATAGTTCTGTCACCTCGAATGATTTGTTTTTATTGGCAGTAAAATTTTCCAGATCTCTCGTACAGGTGTTGCCTTATTTCTACTATGTGTTGGGTGTTGATTCGATGAACAAAGATTCAGCAATCAATCTCTCTCTCCACCTAATTATGTTGGACTTAAGTACACCCCATTGTGTGGTTGTGTTAATGCATGCATTGCAATAGCCGAGTTTTTTCTAGATTATTGATTTTATTTGGATCTCATTCTATGTTTGGCTAAAGTCCTATGTTCGGCTACTCTAACTGACCCCGACCGGCTAGTTTGACCTACGTACTTGACCTCACAGTCATTACACACGTAATTTGATAGATTAGATTATTTTGCCAAATTGAATCTGTCAGATCCTTAAGCCGATAAAGTTTATCTCTGAGTGGGTTTGTAGGTTTAAATGCCACCCTAATTCCAGCTCTGTTGAGGAACCTACGTAAAGTTTATGATGTACTTTCCTTATAGGGTAACTCAATGGAGCCTGTGAACTAACTCCTTTCCACTCGTGTTGTCGTTATTATTCGTACTTGTGTTACTGTTATCTTTTCGTTTGTTGTGTTCGTGCGGATTTCTTAATAAACTGCAAAGGATAATTATTGATTATTAGCGCTTCTTTTACGTGTTTTAATTCCTTGTTTAGGTCCTTGCACTGACTAGTGAGTTTTCTAGCTCTATCACCTAGACATTTGACTAAGCCTGCCTTGACTGACATTGAATGGAATGACTTCAAGTCTAGACACCTATGGAATGTGTCGGTTTTCTGTGGATGGTAGTATCCAAACCGCCGTCCGTCCTTCGTTTTATCCTGCAATCCAACATAGGTAATTCCCCTTGTTTATTTTCTACCCCTCCCCGTCAGTGAATTGGATTGCGCCTACTACTGAGTTTATCTGTGTGAGGAAATTGTGGATCTGTCCCGATTTCAACACAGTAAATGTGTCATCCACATATCGCCACCATATTTTGGTGCAGGACTAACCGTTTGTAAAGCCATTTCTTCCCAACTATCCATAAATATTGGCGATCCCATTGCTACTCCTTCTGTTTGTCTGTATATTTTGTACTGAAACTTGAAGACTGTAGAGGTCAGGCACAACTGTACGCCTAATATGATCTCATCAACCGATATCACAGTTCTGTTAGTAAGTTCTGAGTCAATAATTAATGGTCTTCTGATTGCCTTCCGTTCTATATTGATTGGTATTTCAGTATAAAGACTTGTTTCATCGAAGCTAACCATTTTTTCATCCTTTTCTATGTGTAGGTCGTTAAGTCTTAGTTCTAACTCGTAAGAATTTACTAGTCTGGAAATCGAATGATTCGTAATAGGAATGTGAGACCAAGTTCTACCAGTGCCAAAGTTTTACACCTATATTAATGAGACATCTGTTTATTTAGCTGGCATGCGTTTTGCGCTTGTTAAGTGTAGAATCCCGCTCCAGGACTAGTTTGTATCATTCTGAGTACAAGCCGAAGACTGGTGGAATGCGCTCATCACTTCACCTAATTAAGGATTTCCATGAGCCCTAATGGGTTGGTTGCTGACAAAATTCTAGCTCGTATACAAAAGGACTGTTTGGTGTTTGCCAAATTATACCATTCTTGGCACAGGTGAAGTGAATCTGACTACCAATCAAAGGATGAGAATAATGCTCTACAGAACACTATGTTCCATCCTACGGCTGTTTCATGTCAGTCAAAAGCAGAAAAAAAGTTACAGGCCTTTGATCAAAAGTGTCCTTACAGCAGTGCGAACATGTGGTAGCTTAACCGTGTGAGCAATGTCAAGTTTGGGCGAAGGAAGGTAAGTTTTTCGATAAGGTTGTGAACCTTTATTGGTAACACGGACTGGACGTGTGTTGTGCATACTGTGCAACAACTTACATGTACGCTCAATAATCGTCGACGTTGAAATTCTATGGTGACGTTAAAAACCCGTTACAATGGTATGCGTTTCTATGCTACGATTTTCCCTAAACTTTGAACACTTTCATTAACCTTTTTTATGATTCACTTGTCGCTGTTACATTCATGTTTTCTTGAAGAACTTCTGTTCGATTCGTTCGTTATTTGCACGCTGCTGTGAAGTGTAATAGCTTAAGCCAATGCGCTTCTGCAACGGTTTAGTGTCGATTTTGTTTGTACCACTCGTTGTCCAATAGTCTCCCGTGTTGAGAATCGCGAACAGATTCACCTCTGTTATAGTCTCTGCTAAAATCACTGTTTATGACCTTGTT